GTATGTATGTATGTATGTATGTATGTATGTATGTATGTATGTATGTAGGTAGGTAGGTAGGTAGGTAGGTAGATATATTTGCAAGCAACACTATCACACTCACAATTCCCTTTAAAATGGTGAACAAGTTTTAGGGTAGCGGAACAAAAATATGATTACTGAATATTGTTACTGTAAATGTGTTTTACAATTGGGATCTCTCAGTGTAATGCCTCTGAAAACAAACAAATCACTGCAAAACCATAAATCACTTTTACGACTTTCATATTTGTTCCTCTTTAGATGAGTAACTTTTATTATATTATGTAACCTTGGCAACCTCTTGGTAATGAATTTGCAAGATTTTTTGTTTCGGAAAGTGAAACAACCATCCAAGAAAGTTTGAAATTCTTCACTCTACTCATTAATGTTTACCACTCGAGGATATTGTTATATAATCTACTCAAATCACTTTGCAGGTTGTGATCTTGTTCATATGCACATGAAGCTCAGACTGCTCACCAAAGAACAGTTTACTGCTGCATTTTCATTTTGAAACTTTTAGTTAACCTCTTTTCCATTTGACAGAGACCACTGATGGTTTTGTTGCTCAATGCCCAAACATTGCTCTCGCTGAGAGAGTAGACTGTTTCCCAGATGCTGGGGCCTCAAAGGTACAGTCACTGGTTCTGCTTGTGGAAAAATAGATTGATGATTATGGCTGGAGTTGTTTTAATTTGTTGGAATAATGCTACTGGTGATAATGACATTGCTTATAGTTGCAATAATTACAACAACTGTGTGAATTGCAATTATGATGTTAATATCAACCCCTTCAAACAGCTGAAATGTGAGCAGCGTGGCTGTTGCTGGAACCCCCTGAATGCGAGAAATGTGCCCTGGTGTTACTTTCCAACCAACCATGGATACACAGTTGAATCAGTGGAGCAAGTGAACTCTTACGGTAATCCATACTTCTTCTCTTTGGTGATCACCAAACGATTGAAATAGTTTACCTTTAATTTAACTTATCATCTGAGTCTAACTGCTGCTTATTCCCTGATACGGTTAGCCATCCTTTCATCTCTCGCCATTTTTCACTTTCTTTGCCTCGGGCTCAGTTTTCTGTGAAATAAGACATGGGTGGCATATCAAAATACATTAATGACTCTGCAGCATGCAAATTATTTCCCATATTCTGCTTCGGCTCATGTGACCTCAGATATTCAGCTAACGCAACAATAAATGTTGGAACTTGTTTATAATAAATCTGTAATGATGTTATTACTTTGAATAGCTAAAATAAAATTGAAAAAAGATAAACAAATGTGAAAGAAACATGGAAAAAAAAACATTTGCTCATGTTTAGACCAAACGTGGTCTAAGCGTGACAAATGTATTGATGGGAGAGTCAATTGTGGTATAGTACCAATCAATTGAAACTGTTGGAATAGTAAAGCAGCTCTTTTGGTTTATATGTATGCCGGTAAAATCTGATGTCCGACTATCAATAATAAAATTGAATACCTGATCTTTTCCAATCATTAATTGTTATGGAAAGAGATCTTTATAGATCATATTACGTTAAAACATATGGTTTTCATCTTTTCAATATAGAGGAATGATTTAAGCGTAAATGTTATTGGTTGAAATGTACAAGCACTTATGTACGATGTTATGGGGTATGGCATGGGGATGCATACAAGACATGCAAAAACCAACACAAATTTCTTAAACAGCCCAACTGTTTCCATATTTTCTTTATATTTATAGTTGACTAGTTGAATTGGAAATTTTCTTGTAAACTGAATTAATTTAATATTTTGCATCACAACTTTTAACATTGTATTTTCATGTATTCATTCTACAGAAATGACAGCTCGTCTGAAAAGAATGGCCGCCCCTTCTTTATATGGTGCAGATATACAGGAGCTGTCATTTCACGCTGAAATGCAGACCAACAATCGACTTCGATTTAAGGTAAACAATGACAGGCACCAGCTCCTTCTGTTCCTCTCCAACTCACAACTTGGCTGAGCAAACCTGATGTACAAGGCAGTATTTAGTCTACACATCCTTACACAAAGGCTGTAAACTGGAAAAAAGAGGAATAAACACACTATGGCCATGTGATATATGGTGACAGACACACTGTGTGAATGGTTGGTTGCTTTTTCTTCAGATCACCGATGCCCACAAGCAGAGGTATGAGGTCCCTCACGAGCACATCCCTAAAGTCAGCAAAACCCCCTCCATCCCAATCAGCAACACGCTCGAAATCACACACAAACCCTTTGGCCTCACCGTGCGCAGGAGAGAAAACAACAAAGTCCTGTGAGTGTTTGAGATCTGTGTGTTTTTTTTTTGGTTTGATTAAAACAGGGCTAAACGCAGGGCTCATTTGAGGCCTACAGTGCAGTCACAGTGATTATTCTTGACATGATGCTGCAATGCATATTTATATACATAACTGATTTTTGAAGAGAGTTTTGTGTCATTAGATAGAGAAATTTATATATGCCATGCTGACTTGACAAATTATTTGATTTAGTGTCTCAGTCAATGGCATCAGAAGCCTCACTGTCATCCTAGAATAATAAGACTTGACAACCATCAATATATTTTGATTGACTCTGTTTCTTATCTGAGACAATCATTTGTCACATGTGCATGCTGGACCATGCATCACCATCATTGCCACATACTGACATGCGTGGCCTTCCCCTGATATGGGTTAGCTGTTTAATCATTAATCATGTTTAATAAGGGCACAGTTAGTAGACATATCACACTGATCCATGTCAACCTTTAACTTGTTTCACCATAATATTGAAAAGCATTGTTTCCTCTCACAAAGATCCACCTGTCCTTGAACCAGTGGGACTGTAGCAAGATAGGATTTTATTTTAGTTTTACAAGTGTGATATAACCTAATTTATATTAATTTTCTGTAGTCTATCCAAGCCAATAATTACATGAATACCCATAATGTCATTGCAGTTCAAATGGTGTGTCGTGTTGCCAGCAATATCGAGTGTCCAGATTAGTACAGCATTTAGTGTGAAATGTTTTTACAACCTAGTGATAACAGTCAATACACTAGGTGAACATTGCCAGAGAAAAGTCCAGGTTACTGAGAGATAAGAAGGATTATATATTTACATCTAATATCATGAAGAATTTTTTCCGTACGGTTCATAGGATGTTTTCTTTATCCTTGGAAGTTGCACTTATATGTTAAACCGGTAACAAATGCCAAATGTGCAATCAGAGTGCTGTTGATTCTGCTCTCTAACCAATCTGACTAATGAATGGATCTTTTCTTCACTCCTCTCTTAAAACAACTTATATATATATATATATATATATATATTTATATATATATATTCATAGAAAAATATGTCTTTTTACCTTTACACTTTGAGATTATAGTGCAATGGTGACAAGTTTTTTGACAGAGGTTTATAAAACTGCTGTTGTTTAATCCTACTGTTAACTGTGTTTGTGCAGTTACTGCATCTACAACCTTAAGTTGTGTGTTTCGACAGCTGTTTGCAGCTTCACTATTTCAACTAGAGCTCGTCTTGTTTTTGAAGACAAGAAAAGTGTTACCCAGAGGGCTTATTAAAGCCTGATGGGATGGTCTGTCTTCTCCCAGGTTTTTCTCTCTGCAATAACTCCTCCACACGTCCTTGTCTTGTTGCTGCTCTCTTCTCTCCCTCCATCACACTCTGTGTCTTTCTTCTTCTTACACATTTCTTTCTCTCCCCCACCATATTTTTCCCACATCTCAATGGTCTCACTTACACCTGTTTGTCTCACTTCTTTTTTCCTCAAAACACATTCAGGTTTGACACCACAATGGCTCCGCTGGTGTTCGCAGACCAGTATCTGCAGCTGTCTGCTAAGCTTCCATCCCATAATATCTACGGCCTGGGAGAGCACGTACATACAAGATATCGCCACGACACAAACTGGAGAACATGGCCCATTTTCTCAAGAGACGCTTTCCCAAATGGGGTATGAGAGACCTACACACGCTAATTGCCCACTAAATGTGTCATATACTCCAAATCAGGTTAGCTCAACAAGTTTAGAAAGTGTACACTTGAGCGTGTGCGGTGCGTTTACTGTTATCCCTACACGTCGGAAATGTCCTCCTCTGTAGGCTTAGAGGTGAAGCTGATTAGGCAGTGTAGTCTACTGCTCAGTTTGAGTGAGTCTCCCACATTTCTCCTGCTACTTAGACCTCTTCTCTAAATCTCTTCATCCCTCTCTGCTTTCCCCACAGGGAACACATAACCTCTATGGACAATATCCCTTCTTCCTCTGTATGGAAGATGAGAGTGGGAAGTCTTTTGGAGTCTTTCTTTTGAACAGCAACGCTATGGGTAATGACAGTCACTCAATACACACAAGTCTAACCACGTTTGAACCACCTCTGAGATTTACGCTGATTTACTGGAGCCACAAGATAATTTGTACAAACTTATTCTGAGCAAACCTGCATTGGGATGCTACTTAAACAGACATGCATGAAAAGCACACAAGGCTGATTTGAGTCAGACATATTGGCAAACCTACTCAAACAAAAGAGTTGAGCCTCATTTAACAAACCCATGGGAATCTTCACTTGACTCAATTAATCAACTGGGCAGATAAACCAAAGTGACTTTTCTTTGACTGAAGAAGATGACTGCAACCAATATAGGGAGGGATTTAGTCCCTCACTAATATCTGCTTTATATAAAGGCATTCATTTTTTCCCTCCAGTGATGTTAGTGGAGTTGTCAGTTTCCCCATCTTTATTCTATGCTTCTATCGTTCTTCAGAGGTGACCCTGCAGCCTGCCCCTGCAGTGACCTACAGGACTATTGGAGGAGTTCTGGACTTCTACATTGTCTTTGGAGACACACCAGAACAAGTGGTGCAAGAGTATGCCGAGGTGATTTCATTCATTTGAATGTAAACTTGGAGCAGGTTCTCTGGCTGTTGCGTTTGTCTTGGCACAGAAACCCCATTAACATTGGGCCAAATTATGTTCTCCAGCTCATTGGCAAGCCTGTCATTCCTCCATACTGGTCACTGGGTTTCCAGCTCTCCCGTTGGAACTATGGGAGTCTGCAGGAGGTCAAGAACACGGTGGAAAGGAACCGTGCCGTGGACCTCCCATATGTAAGTGTCGGATTTGTTTTTTTTATTACATTTTTTTAATCTTGCAATTCAAAAGTATAGTTTTAATTTTGAACTTGTGAAATTATGTCATAAGTTAAGAAACTTAAGAGGCATCAGTCTCAAACACAGCACTATCTGTAGAGACTTTTAAATGTAGGATGAATAGGGACTTCAGCACATAGTCAGAATGATGGGGATGGCCTTTAGCGCAGATGAGCTAATTCAGCTTTCTGTCGAATAATGTAGAGGCTGTGGGCCTGTATAGGGTCAATACCAGAACCACTATTTTTCAGGCAGCCCTGAATGTTTGAGCTTATCAAAGATCAATTGACCAAGTATCTGTCATTATCTCATTCATCCTGATCTGAATGTGAAAACTGCTCCAACACCTCGGTTGTGCTGAGACGTTTGACAAATACCAGTTATGTCTGACATTTTGTTCGGAATGATCCCACTTTTCAGAGTTCTTGTGAGTAACAGCAAGATGGCATATGCAGCAAAGTAATGTTCAGTGTACGTATGCTTTTATTCTGAAGATAGAATAATTATAATCTCTAGATGTCACCATTAACGTTCAACTGTATCACACCTTGGCAGTGAATGCACAACTTAAGGATGCAAAGTGAACTCAATCTTATTCAAACGTCAAATCCAAACAATTTTCCTAACCATCTCAATATTTCACTCTGATAATCTGCAACCTCTCTCTCATTTAGAAAAACATTATGCTGCAGGTGCTTCTTCTTCTGCTGTGTTTGGGGAGATCTTTGATAACCATTAGTTAGACCACTGAGGATATTATCAAATTCTCCCTAATATGTCTAGAGCCGATTACCATTAGAGGAAGGATCTGGCACAGCCTTCAGAACCATCTGCTCTGTTGATATGAATATAGGCAGACATCACAAAGACAGCAAGCGAGCATCAAGTCACATGCAGACAAATATAGGAGAAGAAGGCGAACTGTTTAAATGTATGTAGTCAGAGCCAGTCAATTACTCTGCTTAAGAGAAGTGTGAACATAAGTGGATGCATATACAAGTTATTGAGTGGGATTTTGAATATATTGTTCTCTTTTGTGGAAATGTCAATTGTAATTGGTGGAAGTCATGCAGACAGTTCAATATTACCAGTTCAACTCAATATTTCATGTCATCTAAGCTTGTTGTAATAAAAGTAATTCATTTATTTGTTTATGTTGATTGACTTATTTTCATTGTTTTTTGTACTGTTTGCATTTGAACTCACCATTCAAAAGAAATATTTTTTCTCCCCAAATAGGACATTCAATACACTGACATAGACTACATGGAGGATAAGAAAGATTTCACTTACGACAAAGTGAAGTTCCAGGATCTTCCTCAGTTTGCTGATTACCTCCATGAGAAGGGACAGAGATACATCCTCATCCTTGTAAGAAGTACTCGTTAAAAAATGGAAGTGTTTGTCAGATGTGTGAGCTTTACAAACTTTTTCAGTTTCCCTCGCATGCCATCCTGCAATATTAAAAAGCAGGTTAAAAGATTGATTCTAGCAATGATCTGCCTTATCAGACTCAACTGCTCTCCATAGAACTGCATCGAGTTAAACTATGAAGTTGATCACAGAATGTTATATCAAAATGAACCCAAATCATGCTTTTTTCTTTTTTAAAATCTGTTACACCAAAAAATGCTGTTCTTTATGAAATACTAATAATAGACTTTGTTCGTCCTCAGGATCCTGCAATAGCCACCAGTAGGAGGGTTGGAAATACGCCATATGAGTCCTTTGATCGGGGGACAGCGATGGATGCTTGGGTCACAGAAGCAGATGGGACAACCCCTCTTTTAGGAGAGGTGAGGTGGCAAATGAAAATGCAGACTACAAAACATACAGCAGTTATTTAGACTTTAAGAGCTAATTGATGCTCCTTAACCTTATTTCCAGGTTTTTACCTCAAAGCAAACCACTGATGTTAAAATGGCACATTGACTCTGTGTATTCCCATTTGGTGGAATGAGGTTTCGCCCACGTCTTTGACTACTATGAAATAAATAACTTCCAAAAACTAGTATGGAGCAGGGGCTGCTAGCAACTGCACGCTGAGCCTGGAAAGCAGTTATTAGCCTTTGCTGACTTTAAGCTTTTTTCACCTTATAGCAGTTACAATACCTGTTCTTTCATCAGCCCCTTAAAACTGATGCAAAGAAGCTGTGCAGCCAAACCCTGAGAGTAGCCAGCATTACTTTCTTAGATCGTCTTTGTTGACCACACAGGCTCTCTGACCTCCCCTTTCTCAGACTAAAGATGGTACAGATGTTAAAGCTGAAATCCCCAGGTTTAGCAATGGCCTATTTCGCTAAATCCTCGCGACACATAAATGTAACACCTGGATGTGTTAAAATCTATGTTTCATTTGAGCTAAATTAGAAAAAAAGACTACGGAAGGTCATTTACATTTTACATTTTACAAAGACCATGCCATGTAAAAATCCAACTGTTGATTTTCCATAGGAATCCATGTACATTTTGAATTCACATTCCCCATCAAACTAGATAGTAATGGAGGTTCAACATCCAGACTGATATTTTTTTCTTCACTCTCCCCATTGCATACAGGTTTAAAAAGCTTTTCCCTGCAGAGTGTCGAAGTAGGGGGTGAAAGTGTGTTGATCCTGTGTTTTTATAGTGGTGCCTTTGATTACACACACGATTAGGCTTAGTCCCACCACTAATCGCCTTTTCATGCTGTTTATGAACAGGTCAAACATATGCATTGATTTTGCGTTAGCGTTTAATCTTAAATTGTTCTGAGTCACTGCATGCTAGGAATAGGTGTGTAGGTGGGAGTAAGCATCTTTCTAGAGAAAGACAGAGGGAGAAGAGTGTAGAACAAAAAAGTTACGATGGAGAAACAGCGATGGGGCGAGGCTGGGATTTATCTTGCTTTTAAGAAACCCAATTGCTTTCAAGGAAAAGGTTAAAAGCATATACTGCTGGCCTAAATGTTTCAGTTTGTTAGTAAAATAATAACAAGACGTCTCCTGTAGGCTACATATGAAGATTTTTTTTCAAACCAATTGTGATGAAGGTAATAAAAAAACAAAAAAACTGCTGGGAGAGAAAAGAGATTCTATTTTGGTTTAAATGTGAGGTTGACAGACTGAAACACAGGCTGATAGACAAGCCTAGAAAATAGATTAGAGGGGAATGTACAAGGAGACAGACTGGCTGTCTTACTGAGTATCTGACACAGACATATACATGAAGCCAGCCACAGTGAGACGTGGGAGACAAAAGACAGATAATCAGGTACAGGGAAGAAAGGGACAGGAAAGATGGAAGGCAGGCATGCACTTTGGAGAAAGGGTATGCATTGGGACTGATAGAAATCGGAAGAAAGGGAGAGAGATGGATCGGATAGGCTGCACAAAGGAGTAAACATCATAAAAACGAAACAAAAAATTGTCTCATTAAAGTTGGCTGCTACGAATGCCAGAGGAGTTGTTTGCCCTTTTGTCAGAGTTAGAAAATCTGAAGATGATCAAATCTGAAGATAGAGGAAGGAGTGACAAAAAAAAACAGAAAGAAAAAAAGAGAAAAAAAAAGATGGCCACTGCAACAGTCTATCAATAAACCCTGACCTTGAAGTTGTGACCAAATGCCAAAAAAAACATCCGGCTATAAATCTGTGTTTGCACGTGAGCGCACACAAACGTGATTCATGCCTTGCTACAAGCCGGGTTGTAAACTTATTGCCGGTGGAAGTAAAGTTAAAATATAGCTGGAGCGGTGAAACCTTGAGATTTAATGTCTCTGTGCAGTATGGAGAAAAATGTGCACGCACAGTGACAGGAGCGCAGAGGAAATCTCTGCCGCTCTGTGGATTAATCATTTTTCTCAATACATGTCATTAAGGACAACTTCTAACACACAGTCACGTCTGGAGATTTCTATTGCATTATCGATTTCTCCTCTTCTCTGTTCTCTTCCTCAACCCGTCTGTCTCTTTATCCCCTTTCTCCTTTGCCATCTCCCTCTCATCAATCCCACCCCTTAGTTCATCTCTTCTTTGCTCTCTTTTCTTCATCATTCCCACATTTCTAAGCTCTCTCTCAGACACCCCCACAGGCACAGTTTTTTTCCCCCTCTCGTTTTTTCCCCCCATGGAGTTCAATACTCCTACACACATCAGCTGATCGTGCCTTGTAATTTCATTAACATGCAGCTAAAGGTGTGTTACCAATGATCTCAACACCTAAATAAAAGGATAAGGAAACCATTATGTTTCACAGCGAGTACATTCTGAATAGAAGAAAACTTGTACTGCATACTACTGAAAGGGAGTCTCACAAAGTGACTGCAAACAGATAGTTTTTTTGAAGATGTCTTTGTGGTTTGTAAAAAAATAAATAAAACCTGCATTTCCTCCCCTACAGGTGTGGCCAGGAGAGACAGTATTTCCAGACTACACAAGCCAGAACTGCATTGATTGGTGGGCTGATGAGTATGAGCGATTCTACAGGGAGATCAAACACGATGCCCTCTGGATTGTGAGTCAATTTCCAAAACATAAAGTGCACTCAGTAACAGGGCAACCAGCTTAGTTTTTTTTTGCAATTCTCAGTGGCAATTGCTTCACTGCAATTGCCTTGAAGACTGAGGCACAAGCAAAGGCTAACACCAAAACAGAGTGACATCTGTACTGTTAATGGATTTTTAGCAAAAAAAAAAAACAATAAATCTAGCTTTGACTCATTTTTTGCTCACTGCTGCACACATCATGTCCGGCAGACACCTCCTCTTGAGACATTTGTTTTAGTTCAACCTACTTGACTTGAGCCTGTTTTTATAGGTAGAAACAAAAATGCTTCTGCATTTATAAACTCTGTTCCAAAAAGTTAGAGATTACTTTTGCTTAAAATGCTCATTTTAACTTGTGTTCAAAATCGTGCTTCATCAAATATTTGTGCTCACCAAAATAATAACACTTTCAGGACATGAACGAAGTGGCTAATTTCAAACAAGGATCAACCAAGGGATGTGCTGATAACAACCTCAACTACCCTCCATACACTCCGAGTAAGTCTACTTATTTCCGTCGCTCTGACCCATAGTCAAAAACAAATGTGTGCTATTCTGCAGTAGCAATGTTTTTTAGATGCAAAAGACAGGCAAATATCTGCATTGTTTATTTATATAAACTAACAACATGACATTAAGTACTAGTCCTGATAAAGAGCAGTGCAGTTAAAAAAAAAAACAAACAAACAAGAGGACCTTACTCGGAAATATTGCTACAATGCATGGCATGCTCACTCCCCTTAATTCCCTGTATATTTCAATACAGCTTAGTCATTATCTTCATCGACTGGCCTCCTCTTCCTCACTGATGTGTTGTCCTGTCATGCAATTTAGTCGAATCCTCCATATTCCTTTCTTCATTCCATATTTTGTATGCACCCTGCACCTCTCCTCCCCCCTTTTCCCCCCTCTTCCTCCCGCAGGGATCCTTGATGAGGTGATGTACAGTAAGACCCTGTGTATGGATGCCAAGCAGGCCTGGGGGAGCCACTATGATGTCCACAGTCTATATGGCTACTCCATGGTGCTGGCCACTGAAGTGTGAGTTAAAACATAATGCAATTTGACCGACTTGTGAAAATGAACTCAACCTTCTGCACCCCCCACCCCCCAAGAGCACTGAAGCTATAGTTAAATAGTTAACTTAAAATGTCCTGTGCATCGTGAAAACAGTGTAGCTCACACAAAATTCCTAATCATCCTCATCATTCCTGTAGAATCGGAGGTTATTAAACAGTGACCCTGAAACAGAATTCTAGAGCTGGTATGCAAAAGCTCTGTCACTTCATTTTTTTGCAGTGACTTATGCACTGCTCTAAATCATAGCCTGTGACACTTGCAGACAAATTGTAAGTTGGATCCCATGTGCAGAAGTATGCCTTAATGAGCCCAGCTCCCATGGTGATGTTGAATGAATTTCTGATCTGGGTCTGGCACAGAAACTGTTTAATGGCCCATTACGTTCACTAACCTACAATGGAGCATCACTGTGAGTAGAGGGTATAATCACAGAGGCATGGAAATTCATATGGATCGCTGATATTTGCCAAATGATGACACACATGCAAGCTTGATGACAAATAATTCACCTTTTATGCTTACAAATCCCTTTGGTTCACAGATAATCATTCAGGCAGTAGGCAAGCTAGTTTTTGTACAGTCTAATAGTGAAAATATTTAAATGGCATTTAATACGCTCCTTAAGATTTATCGTATCTGACAGCACATTTTTGTGAAGTGTTTAGGAATATACAGTGATGAGTTAATAGATGAGGAAAAGTGTGTTGAAAAGAAGTGCTATTATTTTACTATTTAAGCAGGGACTATTTTAATTAGAGTTAAACAAATTCAACTATGATGCTAAAATGCTCTGTGGGCAAACTGAGTGCTGGCATTCATGAGGAGGCTTTTTAAGATCATTTCCACATATTGTATCTTTATACTCTGCAGAAATGGTCAAATAAACTCAATCTGCTCTAGCTCAGATCATAAATTGGAGACTTATGGCTGGATGTTTATTTGCAAAAGTTCCCCTTAGATGCCATTCAAGTGCAAATATAGGGCTGCGCATGAAAATGTGAAACTGGTATGGGCAATTAAAAATGTGTTAGAAGATTAAACGTTCACCAGTAGCAAGACTGACATTCCATCAAAGTAGCTCAAAGTAAAGATGAGAAACTACAACAGTGTCAACTGAGAGATTAGAGGAAGAAACACTGGTCTTTCAAGTAGATCCAAAATTTGAAGTTGGACACTCTGGTGTCCAGTCAGACCCATTATAAAACATCACTGCTTCAAACACATCAGTTTCAAACAGACATTTAATCTTTTCTAAGGAAGTTACTTAATACTTAATGTTGGGTTAGGGTTTGTTGTAAATGAGCATGAACCCACCCTCATCACATGATAAAGTCTTGTGATTGTGAACCTGTGACGCACGAAAAAAGAGGAAAATCACATAAGAAAAGGCTTTCATAAAAATAAAAATAAAACAGTTTGGGGTTACACCAGTTAATATACCTTCTTTCAAATCCATAAAATCTCAGTTTGACGAGTCATTCACATGAAGGTGGTGTATAAAAACCGACCTATATGTTGCTAGAAGGTGTACAGAGTGTCTCAATAGTTCAGGCTGGGGAAAAAGAGAAGAAACAACTAGAGGGTTTGCTGGCTCATTACTACAGTATTAAACTTGCTCATATTTCATATGTCTCCCTTTTAAACATCATTCCTCTTTTCACCTTGTCTGTCATCTAACTTGCATCTATTATTGACAGCGGATACATTTTTAAACACCAACAGGGCATTGCATTGTTATGAAGATCAATGCTACAGCAATTTCTTTCAAGCTAGATTTCAAGCTAGATTGTAAGTGTGGTTTCACACTTTTTTTCTGTCCTTTTGTCCTTAAAGTGTTAATGACATCCAATTAATTTGCCTCTTTACTTTTTGCTTCACAGAGCTCTGCAGCGCGTGTTTGCGGGAAACCGTACTCTGATGCTGACCCGCTCTGCCTTTCCTGGTGTTGGAAAGTATTCAGGTCACTGGCTGGGTGACAACGGCGCTAACTGGAATGACATAAAATGGGCCATACCTGGCATGCTGGAGTTTGGGCTTTTTGGAGTTCCTTATGTAAGTCTCAATCCTACAGTTTGCATTATATTTTCAGAAACACTATTGTAAGAGAACCACCTTTTCCGAGTTTTCATTTTCTTCCTTTTAACAGCCTTTCTGGCATTTAAATAGTTCTCTCTTTTGTCTTTTTTTAAAAAGATTTAGTTGCTCATTGACTGTATTGTTCTAATGTGAGCTTTCAGACAGAGGGTTTGGCAGGAAAAAGTGTGCTTAGGAAAAGATCCATTAAACTGTCTAGAGGTGTACCACTCTATAGGCATACCGTCACATCCAGAAACATGCTAGAGAAAAGACACTGCCAAAGACTGCCAAAGCACATGTGGGCTTTTCCAACGTACACAGTGCAAACAGCAGCAAGAAAACAACAGGAAGTCAATTACACGTAGAAACCACACACATCTCTCCAGCTGTGCACACCAGGTGGTCTTACAGATGCCCATTACTCCTAGTAGGACTCCGTCAAGCAGATTTTAGGTGTCTTTGAACACAGACACACACTTGCTCAGACAAAGAAGGAAGGAGGGAGAAATGGGATTTGGATCGATTTCCTCCCACTGAGTACGTTGTACAATGTGACCAGTTGTAAACAAAAGAAAGCAGAAGTCTCTGCGGATTGGCCTTTAACTGAAGTCTCTTTCTTGGACTCCAGTGTGCAATTAGTGTAAATAAGGATTATGGCCCACACCTGACAGTAAAACTTGACTGAATTTCACCAATGTCAAGGGAAGCATTCACAAGCTAAATGTTTGGAAGTTTGTTGGTTTTACATTCACACCGTGTTGTTTTTTTTTATAAAGCACTCGGATTTACTTTTAAAACCTTGAGAAATGCTATTTTCAACATCTCAAATTGGAATCTGCAGCTTTCTTCTCCGTCTATTATTTTCAACTTGTCAAATCACATTCCAACTTAATGCTTCAAATACAACAATATCAAAGAGACATGCTGAAGTTTCTGGTGAAATGTCAGCCCCTATGTCTTTCCCTTTTGTGCTTCAGATCGGAGCTGACATCTGTGGGTTCTTTGACGACTCAAGTGAAGAGTTGTGCCGTCGCTGGATGCAAGTAGGGGCTTTCTATCCCTTCAGCAGAAACCACAACGCCGAAGGCTACAGGGTACTGTGTTTTTTATCTTTTTTCCCTTATTTTAGACTGTCACCATAATATTTATGCTGTGCATGGCCATTGTTTTGTCTAAAAAGCTGTGGGGTATTCCTTTAATTCCTTAACACTACCTAAGGGTCGTGAACTCCAACCGGAAAAGAACATAAACGTCTTGATTTGAGTCCTAACACAAGACCTATGAACACAATTGATATGTGGTGTGCAGAAAAGGACTGTGACTTTGGGTTTAACACTATGAACGCGACTTAAAGAAACTCCATGCCCGTGCACCCTGTTAACAGTTTTTTTTATTTATGACTTCTCATAGAAAGGTTGAATATAAAAGCACAACAGTTCCTTTCCATGTCGGCAGATTAATTTAGCAAAGCAACCTTTCATAGTTACAGTTGCTATGCTTGGGTCCATCCCCATTCGCCATTGGATAATGGCTTACACAAACAGATTTGGTTTTGTTAAACCCCTGTCAAGGCCAAAGCAAACCAAACTTGAAATAATATATATTTTTTCTGATAAGACTGTAATAATGTGGTTTATGAGAAGCATAGAACAGTGGTTATGTTCAACATTAACAAGCTGACTGTAAATTTTGACGCCTTGGCTTCCTTTCACTGAGATGGGAAAAGCACTGGCTGAGCCTAAAAATGGTTTTACGTTGAAGCCGAGCTATTCTTGTTGATGACACAAATAAGTGTAGAAAAGTAAGTCTCAAACACTGAGTAGCATGAAAACGGATGCTCTAATTATATTCTTCAAGTGCCATTTTCGTGCTCATCACTGCTGCAAAAAATAGCAATGTGGAGGTGTGGAGGTGGGGGGGGGGGGTTTCTGGCAGTGTGTATTTGGAAGAGAAGCAAGTGTTAAGTTAGACAAGATGATGATGAATATGATGTAAGATTTCCGCTTAGCAAGAAAACTAATGTTTGACCTTTGCTTTGCCCTAATCATGGTACTCATCAAATGCCCATGTGGCCCAACCCAAACACACACTGATACACTCACACAAGTTCTCTTCCGACTCTCAAAGGTGCTGAGGGCATAAATGATTAGCCAGATAAGAGAAGCATGGGCTGTTAGCAGCTAATCACCCTCTAACTCGCTACTATCATGGAAATTAAATCCTTCTGGTGTTTCTTTTGCCTAGCTAAGTCTGTTTTTAGATTAGTCTTATGTACACTTGATTTCATGCTCATTATGAATGAGTTTTATGTCCACATCTTCATAGAAAAAATGATTTGCTTGACAAAATTGTTTAGTTCCTACTTGATCGTAGTTTTATTCTAACTGGGTTACAGTTATTTTCCTGTCAAGTATCTTTTGTAGCTCATCCAAATAAGTTGTTTCTCTAGCTTTTCCATCTATTTCCCATTTGTACCCTACTGGATGAAAGACAAATCTTTGTTTTCTTGTTGCCGTCTTCTCTCATTCATCAACTGCACCCCTTTAATCTGTTTTTCTGTCTCCAGCCTCAGGATCCAGCGTGGTACGGTGCTGGCTCAACACTGGTGGAAAGCGCCAAACACTACCTGAATATACGTTACACACTCCTGCCATACCTCTACACACTCTTCTTTAAAGCTCACACTACAGGGGAGACTGTTGTACGACCTGTCTTGCATGAGTAAGTCATTCATTGCGTTTTGTTGAAATTCTCATGGTAATGTAAGAAATGTCATGTTGGAAACTAAACTAAAGCACTAAAAATGACTTCCTCAGAAATATCTGTAGTTCTTGAATCCCACAATTTAAAAAAAAAATGGAATCTCTGCAGTGCAATATCTAATATAGAATTAAATCCTTTCTATTCTGAAGTAAATGCGGAAACGTTTAAATCTCCTGAAGTTGTATATTCTCATTCATGGAACTCCTTTTTCCATTAAATAGTAGCTTCTTTTTTTACACAACCAACAAAAGGAAAATGAAAAATGGAGATTTTTTTCAGAAGTCTGCTCTCCTCTCCCTTAGAACCCTGACAAGTAGTTTCTTTTTTTTATTAATTTTGACACACACAGCATGTCCAAGAAAACTTAAAAAAAACACAACATTTACACATTATAAAGAAGAAAATATGATCCCAGAGCGGGCATTTATTTAATGTTGTACCACTGCTTTAATAAAGTCTGACAGCCATCCCACTGGGAACACAGTGAAAACAAGCATCAGCATAGAGTGCATTACATGGAGGTCCATGGGGCGATACTGTGTATACCTCTAGGAAATTTACTCCGGACATTTTACCAACTGGTATTCCTTACTAAAAGAAGAATGTGGCTAAAGGAAGAATTATGATATAAACTGTCAAATTTGTGAAAACAGAAAAAGAGCCAGCATAACAAACTTTTAAGATACAATCTTTTCCAACCTTTATTGTCATGACAAGGCATGTTAAATTTTCTAGATATACTGTAAATTAAGGATAACAATTAGAATTTCATATTGTTTTTTTTGTTGTTGTTTATTGTTCCTCTTTTTTTGTATTTCTACATCTACATGCACAGGAAAATGCTATGCTCCCAGCAAACACATCCTACTGATTCTGCTAATCATATATTAATGAGCAAGAGCGAGTCTTACTTGAGTGAACAATACAAAAATCAGCACGAGAGTCGTTTGAGGTTGCCAAGAGAGTCGTGGCAGCACATGACACGGGAAAGAGAGTAACACTTGGTACATTAAAACAGTACAAGCCTTCAATGGTCACTGTAGATTTTATTAGGATTGATTGTTATTGAAAACACCCCCCTGAATGAGCTAATTAGTGGAAAGGATTATGTATATGCATGATGGGAATTGGCCAGTAAGCAGCACAATTCAAGCTCTCTGAAGCCCTTAAACTAAAAATACAAAGGAGAGCAGACACTGGAACCTAAAACAAGGTGGGTCAGCCATTCTCGCTATGTCCAACCCAAATTCTGGAATCTTACGTTAACCATTTAAAAGTCCTCATCTGCATGGATAATCAGGCCAGCAGTAGATAAGCATAGAAATAAACATGCACACATAGAAATATTATAAATAATAATTATAATATTAGTTTTTTGCATTTGAACCTAATGCCTATTTATTTATTACATAATGAACGTCTTAGTTGTTATCTATCTATCTATTTATTCATTTACATAGTATCATTGTGAATTATGTTTTACTTTACTTTACTAGGTTCTACACTGATTCTCTCACGTGGGATGTGGACCGCCAGTTCCTCTGGGGAAAATACCTGCTCATCACTCCTGTCCTCGACCCGGTTAGTTAACGCAAATACTGACATAATAACATAAACATTGTTGAAAAGAGAATAATTCCCAACAACCAGACACACGCAAATGTAGAAACAGAGCACACAGCTCATGTAGGAATGCAATCGTGGCACGAGAGAAAATGTGTCTTACGAGCTGATCAGCTACTTTACACACACCCCCTGACCTCCACTGGGAAAACATGACACGGGATTTTTTTTTTGTTGCCCTACCCTCTTCTCATCCTTCTTTCTGCTCACTTTCAAATCCTCCTTCTTTTCTCTCAGCTCTAATGAGAGCACTGACCTCATTACTAGCAGATTAGAAGTGAAGATAGAAGTGTGTATGACTGTGCTTGTTTCAGTGTTATGCCTATGCGTAGTGCATAAGCATGTGTCCAACCATGTGCGTGTGTGAAAGTATGTAGCTGTAGATGCGTTTTAAATACGCATACAGGCTGATATATGTGTACATTTGCAGTCGTTGGGGTCATGTCAAAAGTGGTTTGAGTAATAAGCTATTTAGCACTGCCTCTTGTGCATTACAAAACAGAGGAAAGCTAATTGGATCCGAGGACAAAATAACTTCTGTAATAATCAGTATGACTCTGGGGAAGTTTTTAGAAAAAAAAGGGGGTAGCTCTTGGTTTGCAGTGCTCTGGAGGTTGAGCCACACAAACTATGAGGAATAGGAGAAACCATTAGGTGACAGGGTAGGATGTTGTTTTTGTGAATGAAGACAGATTTACCTACTTGAGATACTTTCACAGTCAAATGCATAAGTCAGCTGTGGATTGGAAAAAAAAAGAAACTACCAGCAGGTGTGCATGGGTCTAGTTTTGACCAGCTACCCATGTCGCTACTCTTTAAAATAACCCGACTGTCCAGCAATGTCCTGAATACACAGAGAAATTATGTCACAATTTATGTCTAAGGAAAAAGCTTCTGACCTTGCCTGTGATGGTGAGAACAAGTGATGAATTAATGACATCACATAAAGTTATTCCAAAAATGGATCTAACATTTGCTAACCAAGTTGCCCTTGTCTGAGGTGACACTCTGGGCAAATGCGGGGGCATTATGTATATACAGTTGAACAATTCCTGGTATGCACACAGGATGAGTTGAGCCGCACAGTTCTCCCTCCGTGTTTCACAGCACATTGCAGACCATGATGGGCCAAACTGGTAAATGTGTGGCAAGATATTTCCACCAGAATAATCAACAATTGGAATTGAAAATATCAGTTAAAATCCATCTAAATATATATATATTTAGTAAACTATGGTTTGATTTAGGGGAAATATAATATAAAACAGGGTATGCTTAGAGTGAGGTTTCTTATGATTAGCATGTCTCAACTGTTTAGGTGTCATTACTTTAGATCCACCAATAACTTGCAAAATCTGGTTTAAAATGGGAAAAGGGGGAAAGTGCTGAACCTCAGGCCCAACTGTACGTTCACTCTGTCCTCATGTTGATCACTCGCTTTTCTTTTTGGCTCATCCTTTTAATCAAGCGTTGGCTCCCATCTAAATTCTCTTTATCAGCTGCTCTCAGCTCAAGCTTGTGATCACATTCCATTCCATCAAATCACTCTTTAACTCTCCCTAACGCTTTCTATCTCAGTCTTCATGTGCCTCTGTCATCTACCTTAGCTACGATCAGATCATTCTGCCAGAAAGAATCTTTGCCCCATCTGATCAAATCTTACCTCTTGGCTAACTGAGGTTCAGAGCTTTAGATGAGGATACAGGGCTTTTGCCTTGTTCTTCTCAATTACAGTTAGCAGCAATGTTAGGTACTGCAGTCCTTCTCCATTAGTGATTGGGGTGAATGATAGGCCCTGTTAGCAAATCAGACAACTGAAAACGAGGTATTGAAGGAGCATTCATTTCCATCGCTTGGGCTCTGGAAGGTGATCTGTACCACACTGCTAACATGGCCCCAAAGATGTCTTAAGTCCATCAAAATTGGTAATTATGACTACATAATGTTTTACCCCTGATAGTGCTCATCAAAAGCTGTATACAGTAATTTTCTGTACATTATCTCCCAAGTTACAAATACCGAAACCTAATTATACATCAACTAAGGCCTCATTAATAGTTTTTCTTTTTCCTCTTCCAATTTCATCACATAATGCATTTGTTTTGATTGTTGGAGCATATTGTTTACAGAAATATTTGGCTCTCTACATTTGGATCAATAAACTGACCAATTGGAGTTGTAAATGGCCTGTGAGGGTGCTCTTAAAAGAGACAGGATCTATAACAGAGTGTTAAAGATAAAAAATTACAAAAGGTACTGCTTCAATGAGACACTAGAACACATATGAATGTGGAAGTAAGCCCCAAAATCAAGCTATTAGGACCGCAAGGGTCAGTGCAGGCCTCCGTTTTTATTGATGAGACCCTGAATTCCTTACTCTTTACATCTTAATGAACTGCACTTGTCCCCTTCTGAGGTTTGGCTGACAAGCCTTGAAGGGTATGCATCTTGACAGTGGGAGAAACATAAGAAGGGAGTTGCCAGTGCCAGTGCCTTTGACAAGTGACCCAGGCCTACACAGCTGACAAAGTATTTCAAAATTTGGTATTTTTGCAAAGGACATGTAGTTTGCTATATCTTTGCTGTGTCCTCTGTGTTTATCTCCCCCCTCTCCCTCAGTTCTGCACTGTCAGGGAGCACAGGGAAGTGACAATGCTATCAAAGGCTTGGTGCGCACCTATTGATTGCCCCTGTCTGTTTGCCACCTTAAGCCATCAAAGGCTGTCACCTATCAGTCGTCTCTCGGTGCTGTCTTTTCCATCATCTGGTGCATCATAATACTTTAGATGAAATGTCACAGGGGCTTTGTAGAAAAATTTTATATAAGATGATGGGCAATTTTAAAATAGCTTTCCTAGATGGGAACATTTTATCTTATTCTTTACCATAAGGCAGCAGAATCTATCTGCGCATCCTTTGTTGTGCATCGTAGCATCTTTTCTCAAGTTATGCCTTATGAGATTAAAGTGTCAGGATTATTAGCATGAACTGCAGCATGTATTGCCGACCACAAACACAAATCACAGGCAGACGTGCCCTCATATTAAAGGGGAGGCTGACACCTTTAAATGCCCACTCCACAAATCAGAGGCATATATTTTTAGAGGCAGTAATTGTAAACAAAAATATGTAGACGACACATGAATAAGTCTTTTATCCTTTTTCTGCAGGGGGTGAACAGCGTGCGGGCATACATACCGAATGCAGTGTGGTATGACTATGAAACGGTAAGAATATCCTTCATCCTCTTTTTTTCCTGTTCCTCAAAAATAATTATTTTTATTGAATCAGTTTTAGTAAGTCATTTAAGGTGACCTTAGAACAAAATGTCTATCTATCCGATTGCTACACTGGCAGCAAGTACTTGCAACATTCATTATAGAATGTTTTCTACCTACAAATGAAAGACATTTCTTCATCATCTGCATACAGAATATTTGAAATTCATACATTTCTGAAATGACAAATCAGTGTCTAAGATAAAAATGGAAAAAGTAAGAAAAGTTTAAACTTTCTCTCTTCTCAGGGAATTTTTTTTTTTTAATTCAAAATCATTGACATATAAAAGAGCACTCAGTTAGCCTATAAATTTTATGTTCCAGAAAAAATAACATTTTGTATTTGTTGATAGATTCCTGAAAGTTTGTTTGTTTCCCAGGGAAGTTTTTCCAGAGCAACTTTTGGTTTTATAGCTGGATGTATACCAAATATTACATTCATTTTACAATGGGCAACTTTAGTAGAACATTACTATGTTGTTGCATTAAGAATCTTACCTCTTAGGAAACACCACAGGGCAATAATGTTTGGATTTCCCCTTAACATATTAATTCAAACATAACTATGTGCAAGAAAAAAGGAGTAAAGTGAGATCATCATATAGGCAGTTAAATCCTCCCACATAAAAATTATACTTACCCTGAATGTAAATCTGAGACAGCTAGAGACAATGGAGGTGAGAACGTTAAAGCAAAGCAAGTAAAAGCTCTCGCTCAGCATTATGTTGTAGAGGGCATCCAAAGCATGTGCTGATCCTGTCTCTTTGTGAAGTGGCAGAATAAGGCGTATAGTTTCTAACAATGACAATGGCCATAATCAGGAAACATTGGTTTTGTTCATAAGTATATAGGAGCACACACAAAAGGAGCGTTGACAGCTCCATACTGAAGTTTTGCCAATTCATGACACAAATCTGAAGTGATTTAAATATGTGTTATTTTCAAAGTCAAATAACAATAGACATTGCCAGTGCAATTCCAGTCCAAGTGACAGCTATCTGACAGGAGCACCTTTATTATCATCAATAAAACATTTTCTGGGTAACAGAAACATCTTATAATGTAACTAAACTACCCTCATTAAGAATTCCCTGACAAAACAAAACTTTGTTCATAAATGCGCACTCAATGTTGGCAATTCCTCCTTTGTGTTTCAAATTAGTATGTAATAAAAACAAGTCATATCTGTTGGACCACTCCACTTTAGAGTTAAGGTTTTTAATGGTATAACCTAAAAAACACAGCAAAATCCCTTATGGTCCTTTAAGAACTGCAGACATAAAAAATGTCTTAGAAAAAGAATCTAAATCATGAATTTGTTTTGTGAAGAGATCATACAGGTGTGTCTAGTTAATTGTTAGCATATCTCCAAACACTTGAAAAGGGGCTTAGTCCTCGTACTACCGTACGAGTATGTTTCAGAGGAAAGTTTTTTGCCTTGGGTTCTTTGTTTGAGACTGAGAGACCAGAGCGATAAGGCAGAGTGAGACTAAGGACAAAGACAGAGTGACATAGGGGACAAGGAAGAAAAGGGAGAGACTATATCCCTGACAGAGAGATAAAAAAGGTGTTGAACTCCTTTGGGACCTTATTTGGGCATTACACTGGCGATGTAAAGCACCCACTGATCAGATGAACGATTAGATTGGCTGTCTTGCTTCTGGCCCCTTGTCCTGCTCGGTCCCCTGTGATTTTCTGAATAGAAGGATGGAAGGGTGGAGGAGTATTGATAGCAACTAAAATGATCACGAAGAACAAGTTAGGAAGAGAAAAAAGAGTTGAATAAAAACAGGGAGATGATCCAGAGAAAAACAAGGTGGGATGGGGTTGAGCAAAAATGACTAATAAAAGGACAAATAGTATGGAACGTGTGGAGAGAGAAAAACTAAGAACCTGAAAGAAGATGAGAAGAGAAAGGGTGCAAAAATTGTAGCTTTGTAGAGAAGTGGGACGATGAGAGAATTGGACAGAGAGACTAAGGAGAGGAAAACTAGACAAGCCTGGAGAGGTCCCCGTTAAGGCAGACAATGAAGGGAAGATAGGATCTGAAATTGCTTATAGACGCTCCGCTAACTCCAGCCCACACACACGCCCATATTGTACAGCTTAAGATGATACACATACACACACACCCACAGTGGGAATGGATGAAAGCGGAATCTAAAAAAGAAAAAATAATTAGAGCACGGCAACAGAGAATAACAAACTGTGGAGAAGGAACTAGGTAAAACGAGAATGAGAGGAGATGGGAAGAGAGGAGCTCTAAATGCTTACAGAATGATCTTAGATTTTAGTCCTCAAGGGATAAGAAATTAACTGTACACTGTCGGGGTCCTTTGAGAAAATGGATGGCAGGGCACCAAGAGAGAGAGAGAGACGTGAAAAGATGCTTCCGCTCTTGTTTATGAACACATCGATCACATCATTATAATGCCAAAGATATAAGACATGTAAAGATAGATATCTAAATATGTCCTCTACAATACATTCAAATTTTGAAGAAACGTCAAACACCTAAAAATCTCTAATTAATTAATTAATTAATTCAAAATGTATGACTACCAATGTCAAACCTTTGGACACAACCTCCCTTTCAAAATGTGTGGCGCAGTGTGTCCGAACGTTTTACTGGTAGTGTAATCATAGTTTATTGTTTTTATCACCTGCATAAAACATCTATTTCAAAGTTGAACGAGCTGAGCTCACAAACCAGTCCGACTAATGTTTGCACAAGAGGCTCTCAAACATGACTGCTGCAAATACAGCTTTGGCAGCTGAGTAACTTCGCTCTATTATCAGTTTGAGGGCGACAGCAGGTTTGGAGTGGATGTTTGGTTTTAGCAGAGGGCTGCCTTTTGTGTTCACATTTGGGTTGTGACTTTGAATTTTTATAACGTTTAAGTCTCTGTCAAAACAAACTGGGCTAGCACTAATTAAAAAGTAGTTTAATATAATTCCGCAGATAAAATTCAGTTTAATTAAAGCCTTCTTTGTTAAATCCAGTTTCCCAGTGTAAGGGCAAAGCTAATATTACCTCTCACCTTTTCTAGAAACCAAAGAAAAAATTAAATTGTATTTTATCCTGCCATATACTGTAAGATTTGTGAGTATGTTTTAACCATAAGCGGATTAGTACAGCTTAATTTAGATTTATGCATGAAATGGATACGTTTATTGAAAGTGACTTCTACAAACTGATATTAAAGAGTAAAAATGGGTTCATTAGAGTGGTAAAGCTTTTCAGTGAAATGTCATCTAAATAACTGAGGTCTTGTCAGAAATTAAGGGAGAAAAAACACATTTGTGACACACTCGAGTCTCTGCAACGTTAAAAAACTGAGGTTAAACACACTCATTAATACCGGTTGGTAGAGTTATTCTGTTTTCTGCTTTGTGTGAGGAAGCTGTTTGGGAAACACACAAGCTGCTTTGCAGAACCACACAGATCCAGATTTATTCATGCTGTCAGCAAAAACTGGTATACCCAGCCTATCTGTGGGTGTAAAGGGACCTCAGGAGAAGTGAAACTGTGATGAAGAGAGTAACATCTCACACAAGCCTAAAGCATGTATTTTACAGCTCTGGCTTGCACAAAATTATGGCCGCCTTTCTCGACTTGAGGGGCACCACAGTGATTGTCTTTCCCAGGGCACAAGGCACGGTAATATGGTGATTGTAAGAAAATGTTCTATCGTTTTCCAAATCAGATGCAACGACTGACAGACCGTGGAAAACATGTTGAATTGCACCTACCAGGTGACAAACTTGGCTTACACATCAGAGGTGGTGCAGTCCTCCCCACACAGAGGCCAAATGTCACCACCACGTACAGGTACACTCATGGATTTTTCAGTTACATGAACAAGTATGCAGCCATAGAAGCACCACTCTAAGCTTTTTTCTTTATTTAGCGGTCTGAGGTCAAGTCATTACATTGTGATTCTGTGGACTTGTAATATCTTTGTAAAACTGTTTATCTACACTTGGCTAGTCGGCTGAACCCCATGGGTTTGATTGTGGCTCTTGACGACAACAACCAAGCAGCTGGAGAGCTCTTCTGGGATGATGGTGATTCCCGAGGTAATGCAGACTTTTCCTGCTTTCTGAAAAAGTTGTTTGTGGATGGATGCATATTGTCCCATTTCTCTGCCATACAAACACTTAACTATTTTACCATAGAAAAAGGAGCGAGTCAACAGGAATGTTCAAATACTGACAGAAAGCTTACTGGAGACAAGGGAGAGCTGCTCAACCTGCTTTGCTTTACACATGACAAAAATTAACATCTCAATCTTTTCCTTCACGCAGAGACGTTTGAGAAAGGCAACTATGTCCACTACCAGTTCTCTGTTTTCAATGTGAGTTTGCTTGGCAGATATCCGTGCCTTCTCCTCCGATCGAAAACACACATTCTCTCTGATCACGGCTCAAGTTCAAAGTTGAAAAATCACTACAGGCTTTTGACTTTCTCTGTCCATATCCCTGAGCTAGATTGATCCATATTGTACTGTAAAAGCTTTGTCAGATCAAACATTCTGTGCTTGAGTCTCGCATGTTTAATGTATGTGACGGATCTTCTCCATGTAGAACACAAAATCTATTACAAAAGTCGTTTGATGGTTGAGTGTAAAGACATTAGGAACCAGCAACCTTACTGGTCCACTAGTCGTGTCTGTTAAATGTTGGGATGAACTCAATCAATGCAATAACTTTAACACAAAAAATAAGAAAATAAATGTTATATTCTACATATGTATTTGTTAATAAGTTCAATAGCTCAGAGAAAAACTAAACCAGGAATTATTTTTGTGCTGTGTTTTAGGGTGCACTGACAATGCAGGTCACACATGCTGGCTACAAGGACCCAAACAATCTTAAGTTTGAGAATATTGTGATCCTCGGGGTGTCTCATCCGCCCACATCTGTCTCTGTGACTCACGTCGGTAGTGGTATGAACACAACCACTGCGTTGCCCAACATCAACATAGATTATGATGCAACGAAGCAGGTAAAAACATACACAGGCATGACATGCAAAACATAAACAGACATAACTAATGCATTAGAATACATTTTCAACTTCTTGCATTTTTTTCATATTTGATGAAAGTCAAATGTCAAATGCGATGTTAGTAAGATGCAAATCTGTTGAATGTGCTGTTTGTCATGCTTCTTCTTTCTGTTATGTCGCCATTACTTCTTTCTGCTTCTCATTGTGTCTTTTGTGTACAGCTTTATGTTCTCCTGTCTGAAGACCACAGGCTGTAAACAATGCATCTCTTCTCTCAAGAATATATACTGTTCTAAACAAGAAAAATTTAACACGTAGGTCACATTCCCTTGCAGCCTTACTTGCTGCAGAGGTCAATTATTTTTCATTTGGAAACGTTCAGCACCAAAGAGCATGCAAAACTGACAACTGGCAAGTGAACATGACAAAAACTCAGGGCACAGGGAGTTAGATAATCTCCCCTGAGTCAATGAAGACCAGAAGTTCCTTCACTGTTCAGCCAGAAACAGGAACCAGAAGATAATTTCTAATATTACATGTGGAACTGGTTCATGAATGTGGAAATAAGCGGTACATTTCTCGAGAAATTCAATACATTTTTTATTATGATCAGGCAATGTGTTTGCAGAAAAAAAGACAATGAGTACAGTATGGTCAAAATACAAATTTTGCCCGAAAAAACCCTGCTGCACCTTTGCAAGAAAGAATGCAAAATGCATTGATGCCGGGAGAGATCGACCGCAGCCACGCCGTTTGTTTCAATGAGACCATACCTGTACATTTCAAGGTTAGCTCCTAACTGTGAGAAATTCTAACACTTTGCATCAGGAGGTGATCATAGAAGCTCTGTATCAGTGTGTGCATTTCAAGGGAGGAAAAAGTGAAAGAGTCAGAGTAATGCCTCTACAGTAAGCACTCGTGGTTATTTGAAAAAAGCCAAGAGTCTGTAAAGTGTCAAGAGACCTGGTGAAGTACTGCTGTAGATATTTGCTTTGTTTGCTTGTGTATTCATGCACTCACAGGCATACTTGTGTGTATGTGGCTACAGATGCTTCTGTATAGACTCTCAAGGTCTCTCACTCGCACAAATACACTTTCATCAATAACTCTCTGTGGAAATCATTTCCACGGGGCGAAGGTTAAATGTGCTCTTAAACTTAAATTCTTCTTTGCCATACCCTGGGGTCTTTGTATGGTCAGTCTTTGCCTTGAATATAGCTCTCAAATTGATGCATGTTAACATTTATGTAAAGATAAGTTTATCTTTTTTATCTGTATTGTGTATAAGTTCCTTGCTTACAGTTTGTCATCCTCTTCCTTCTCTCTTTTGTTGACCCTTTCTACCTACCTTTTTGTTGAAGCTTGCATCAATGTCTCTTTATTCACATTTTTTTTCCAAATATAGCATTTGGTGTACTTAATTATTCTGCATAACACATTTAGAGCCATGAAATTGGTGACATTACATATTTTGCAGTTTAAGAGCAGCTTTATATTGATAGAACATTTAATGTCAATGTTAAGCCCACTTTTCAAGCAAACATGGCTGAATTTCCTTCGGTGTGGAGATTTTTTGTGGGGGGAAAAAAAGTTTTTGCTTTGCTTTCCATGTAAGTTCATGTTAATTGAATCCCCTTAAAAAGGTGCTGTCCCTCCAAAACCTCTCCTTGAACTTCGGGAACAACTATGTAGTTCATTGGGATCTGTCAGCTGAAGAATATCAACGATTTGACTGCCATCCAGAACAGAATGCAGATGAAGCCAAATGCCTGGCCAGGGGTTGCCTCTGGAGGGTGAGGAGGCATTCGCCTTGAGTGTGTTAACAGATATATACGCGAAAAAAAAATTCTGAGCCTTTTTTTCCCTGTTTCATTCCCCTATTCAGCCAAGTAACATAGAAGCTGCTCCCTTTTGCTTCTACCCAAATGACTACGGTTACACGGTTACTACGAACGCAGAGACGGAAACAGGCATCACACTTGACATCACTCGAAACAAGAAGTACAGGAGCAGCGGACGCCCAGGCTCACCCGACATCGACAACCTCCGAGTCGAAATCCGTTATCACACAAGTCACATGCTCCAATTCAAGGTGGGTGTGTTCATTTGTTACTTTGCACATCCATTCATGTTAATTGTCCCTCACTGTTAGTCCTCATGAGGCTGCTTTTTTTTGTCCAAATCAACTGAGAGAGACCGGAAAACATTTTTGTCACTAACAATCTCTGTTCGTGTCCAGATCTGGGACCCGACAGCAGAGCGCTATGAGGTACCAGTGCCATTGTCAGTTCATCCAGTCCCAGAGCCCGACGAGAGCAAGAGGCTTTACAGGGTCTCTGTTACTCAGAGCCCGTTTGGCATCCAGGTGTACAGGAAAAGCACAGGTACCAAAATGTGAGTACCTCTGTTCTTTCGTCCATTTGTCTTTGATTTATTAACTGCTTTTTAAATTACGGTAAATGGTGGATAGATTAAATCAACAATATCTTATGCAACACAATTGTTTTATACTTGTATAGATACATCTTTTTTATTTTACTGTCTGCTGAAAGAAGGAGATTTTTCTTTTGTTGTCTTCTTAAAAAATCTCCAGTCTCTAAATAATACAGTTTTACAGTTACTAAGGTCACGTATTTGCATTCTTTCTCACATTTAGTCCGTTTGGAAATAACTCATCTGACATTTTTGGGTAATAGCACTGCTACTTTGACCAAAGTAAAGTAGAGACCTCTTCATTATCTGTTGAGTTTAAAGTGAAAATTCTGATTTAACCATTATGGTGTTGCTGCCAAATCTGATTGTCTCAATAAAGGTTTATATATCTATGCCTAAAGTAGCATTCTCTTGTTTAGCCTTTATAACTGTGGCATAAAAAGCTACAGAGCTCTGGGGTCTGTCCAAGGCAACACTGTAATTATTCCATATAAACGCCTTTCAAATACACAATTTAAATATTTTGATGTGTCCACTGAATTTAATAATAATATTTCTGAAATATGCTAAAGATATGCCTTCTTTTCCTGTGGGCCCTTCTGTTTGTTTTGTATGAGGCATATTTAGAGTAAGCATCTTTGACAATAATTCCCTCCACCACCCTTCCCCTCTGATTTAATCCTCTGTCACTTTTCTCAGCTGGGACTCCTCCGTGCCGGGTTTTACCTTCTCAGACATGTTCATCCAGGTGTCTACTCGACTGTCATCTCAGTCCGTATACGGCTTTGGAGAAACGGAGCATCCCACCTATGAACATGATCTCAACTATCACACCTGGGGCATGTTCTCCAAGGACCAGCCTCCCGGTGTAAGTACTGCACTAAACACTGGCACTGTCCTTCATCCACTTATGCAAAAACAAATAAAGCACTATTCCCCAGACTAAAAATCTGACATAGTTGAAATAATTACAAGCATATAATCAGTCTTTAGGAGAGTTTGAAAGGACTTTGAATTGAATCAGTTTCACCAACAAATACTTTGTTATGGCTGAAGTATAGATCCCTCTTCCACTGAATGTAGAATCTACAGTGTGAAGACTACTGAGGTGACATGTTAACAACCTCCCTGCACAGAAATTCAACTTATGTTGTATTAACTTGTGTTAGTTCAATGTGGTTCTGTTGATAGGAGCCTCAGTTATAGAGTGTCATCATGTTTTCCCTTAAAGTGTCAAGGCCAAACAGGATGAGGTTTTCTATCTGCATCAGCATTATCAAATATAATTGCTGAGCTGTCGCGACAGCTCTACAGGGGGCAAACAGATGTAGGGTTCCTAGGTCAGCAACAGAATTGAAGCTGGAGAAAAAGGGAACTAAGTATAAATTAAAGACATTCACAGAAAGGGGCAGGAAGGCATGCGCTCAGGATTTACTTTGCTTAATACATGACGACAAGCTATAAAATCTTAAAGCATATGAATGGCTCTTAAAAGTGAAAGGATCAGTGATTAGTACTTAATGAGAAATCAGACTTTCCTATTTCCAGGTGAGAGTGTTTTCCAGTCAGTTATTACGGTACGTTGAGTGGGAAAAAGGCAATTACACTGACACTTTCTGCCACCTGTTGGCAGTGGAGAATCAAATGGCCTCTCTTCTCTTATGTCAAGCACAAAGATTATTTACGTACGGACAAAAGCCCATCCACGAGCCACTGACATGCAGTTTAAAAAGGTGCCAGACTGTATGTGATTTAAAAATTTGACTCATCAGCTTTTGTCAGACAAAGACCCAGCATCATTCATTATTGCTAGAATGGCCTGTTTCTAGGGTATGCTTAATTTTACCTGATGAAGCATACCACTGGATGTACACCAATATGACATTGCTATATAGCCACCAGTTTGGAATGGAGTAGACCCTCTTCTGGCTACAGTGACTATAACTAACTGCCAATGTGCATCATCTGACCACCTAATTTAACCAACATTTAACAATTCACCACAAATTTTGAGACGCTATTTGTTTTCTTTCTGCTGCAGTACAAGAAAAATTGCTATGGCGTCCATCCTTTCTACATGGGCCTTGAGCCCACCTCTGATGCTCATGGAGTGCTGTTGCTGAACAGCAATGCTATGGGTGAGAGAAAAACTAACACAAACATGTACACACACACACATACGCACACATAAAAAAACACAAATGTTTTTACATTCACAGATGCTGCAGATATTTGTGAAAATGCCAAATTTAAATGCAGCCACCCATCATTATACATAACCAAACACTGACTCCGAAGTACTCATCTTATTTTTATACACCTCTTTTACTCTCTTCTCATTTCTCTCTCTTGTATTCATTCATAGTAAACAGTAATACTTTCTCCTTAGGCAGAATAATTTTAAATGTATTTTCCACTTTTAAACAAACAAAGCTAGTTACACAGTCCGCTTTCATTGCAAAAATACAACTGGCTTGAAACTTCTTTTTTATATTTAATTTGATTAATAATATATATTTTTTTGCTTTCTGCCAAGATGTGACTTTCCAGCCGACTCCAGCTTTGACCTACAGAACTCTTGGTGGCATCCTGGATTTCTACATTGTCCTGGGCCCCACACCTGAAATGGTTGTACAGGAATACACTGCAGTACGTATTCCACGACTTCTGTTTTATTATTTTTTTTAGTGGTGTGCGTGTGTGTTTTGTGCCTGGCCCTGGGCCGGTGTTGATGGACTGCAGCAGCTGGGAGTTCCTCGCTTCATTGCGCTCTCTCATTTAGCCAGTCTAAACACACATGCATATACACACATTCAAACAAACACTTTATGGACAGTGTCCCATTTTCAATTTAAAACAACTTTTTCTACACTGAAGTGCTCTGACTTCCTTGTTTGTTTTTTTTCTTAACAGCTGATTGGAAGACCCGTTCTACCTGCCTATTGGTCTCTTGGGTTCCAGCTCTGTCGCTATGGTTACGCCAATGACTCAGAAATAGCCAACCTATACAATGACATGAAGGCAGCTGGTATCCCTTATGTAAGTTCCAAAAACCTGGAATTCAACACCGGAAGAATGATTGTATTTTTAATTCTGTGCAATGCTGTGAGCAACCAAAGCATTAATAGTAATTACCAAAGATGTGTTATGGGATGGAGGCAAAGTACCCCAGATCTGAAGACCCCCCTCATGTTTTTCAGTCTGGGGCTGCAGTATAATTCTTTCCCCTGCTCATGTCCATCGCTTAGAGTAGATGTTTCAGTATTTCGAACGTTTTCCCTGGTCACCATTGTTAGATGCTTGAAAAACTTAACTCACCTAAAAAAATTGCCCTTCCCCTCATGAGAAGTAGTATACATATGCAGTGTGTCTTCTGAGATCCCAACTAGGCTACCATCTTTTGACAGAACCGTTGCCAGTAGCAGTCATGTGTTCTTTATTTAGCAAATCCTGCCTCTGTGACAAAGTTGCTGTTCTATCTTTAATCATTCCCTCATATAACAGTTTTCAAACTTTTGGCATTTTTTAATTCTAAAGCTTGTTTTTATGGTTGTAGAATGCAACTTGGCAGACCTTGTGAGGAACATTCCAGTTCCCACTAGTGGCTTAATTCTTCTGGTTATGTAGAAAAAAATAACACAAACACACATTTGAATGTTGAATTAACTTCATTTAACCTCTCTGATTATTTCCATACTTCTATAAAAAAATATGACGGTGGAAACTTGTGGTCTCAGACCACACATAATATCCACAAAACCACATTTTACAGGGTATAATAAAATAGTTCTCACAACGCATTCCATCCCTGAATTTTTGCCTGTATTTGAGGAGACACAGATTTCATTTTGATATTGCCTCAGTACAAGGTATGATTTCATTGCCCTTGTCTGAACGAATCAAAACTGAACGCTTCTTCTTATTCACTGTGGATTGCCCCACACAGACATTCCCCCATGTGAAATACACTGAGCTAGTTTGCTTATTCAGATTTTACAATGTAACCGTTTAATGTGGACTAGAAATGAATTAGGTGCAACGATGTGACGGTGTCAGCGGTTATTGGAGAAAAGCTAAATCAATTTGTTGGATTAACTTCGACACATCCAATTATCCCAATCAGTGTGAACTTGAACTTGCACCAGGTATCTCTCAGTAAAATTGTCATTAATAATTTTGGATTATGTGAAATATCAAATCTAAAAGAAAGAATAAGGCATTTTTCATGCAAAAGAGCACTTTGGTCTAGTTTTGAATTTATATCCATTGGAAGATAATTCAAAATGACAATGGAATGAAGAGCAGAACATTAGAAACTGCTCTTTTGGTCTATTGATATCTACTGAGACTTTCATCAAAAGTAATAAAAAATAACAAGAATCAAGGATAACTGATTGCAGCTTTTTAACAAACACACGTAGCATGGTTTCTGCACTAGTTTACTGTAAACCTTTCCAAAAACAATCAGCAATTCCCTTCGTTTGTCACAATACAATGTCATAGAACAAGCCGACTTAAAAAATATATAAGATATATTGTCATGTCTAAAACCTTAGACGTGACATAAATGTATAAACTTGCCAAGTAATTTTGAGAACTTAATTACCACATTCGTTTGTAAAAGTGAATGGACAAAGTTATAACCATATTGATTTAATGTTTTGGAGCTGTGTATGCAGCACTATGTTCAGTCAGGTTTGCACCCAGTAATGTGAGCCTTAACGGGCATGTGCTGCAGGATGTACAGTATGCTGACATCGACTACATGGACCGTCAGCTGAACTTCGTCCTGGACCCTGAGTTTAAAAATCTGGGTAACCTTGTCAACTCCATGAGAGCAGAAGGCATGAGGTTCATCTTCATTCTGGTAATGGCTTCATACCGCGAATGACTGCACTGCCTACATATGTGCATGTGTCCTGGCCTTCTGGCTGAAACCTTGAATCGATGTATTTTTTCTTCTTTTATTTCTGGTTGTATTTCTTATGTCATATATACATCATCTCTTGCTGGATCATTTTGGTTATATGAAAATTGAAAGGTATTAAATAGGCCTGTAGAATGTCATAATTTCTATTAGCCTATATTTCAATATCTTTACAACATATTGTCTGAAAGACATCTTTGTCACTGCAGTGATTAGAGACTGTGACAAAACTCTTTCTTTATTTCTTTATTTCTTTATTTCTTTCTTTCTTTCTTTATTGATCTTGCTAAACTCGGCATCTAGTTGATAAACAATGTTGGCATCTAACTGTAATGATTTGCCAAAGTGCACGTGCTAAATGATGGAAAAAGTAACAGTTTGCATAAACTATGTTTATGTGTGTGTGTTTATTTCATTTCAGGATCCTGCCATTTCAGGCAATGAGACAAGCTACAATGCTTTTGAGAGGGGAGTAGAAGCAGATGTCTTCATCAAATGGCCTGAAAGCATTTCTAGTGAAATTGTTTGGGGAAAGGTAAAAACAAGTGGATGGTCAAACGAATCAAACAATTCCAATGGGATATCAATAACACAACTTTTAAACAATGTGATGCAATCTAATTTGCAGCTTTTCTTTTGCAGGTCTGGCCTGATTTCCCTAATGTCACAGTAGATGAATCTCTCGACTGGGACACCCAAGTAGAGGTACATTATGTCCCTTACTGACCTCACATCTTTGAAGGAAAAACATTGTAGATTATGGTTAATAATTACAAAAGCCAGTTCACTTTTCTAGCAACTAATCTCCGGTAAACTGTCGTATTGTCAGATCTACAGGGCATACACCGCATTCCCAGACTTCTTCCGTACTCAAACAGCAGCATGGTGGCATAAAGAAATTGAAGATTTCTACTGGAATGTAACAAAGTTTGATGGACTTTGGATTGTAAGTGTACAGAACAAGAAAATTCACTGGACTGTTTAATGTAATGCACTGTTGGCTCTCTGCTTGATTTTCCTGAATGTCTACACACCCACACTCTGTTTTTATCTGCAGGATATGAATGAACCTGCTAGTTTTGTCCATGGCACAGTTGGAGAGATATGTCTTGGTGATCCCAAGCTAGAGAATCCTCCATATATGCCACGTAAGAAACCCACAAACAATTTGTTTTCCTTGTATTCTATCTAAAACAGAAATAACATTAAAAGATGTATCTTTATATATCTTCATGTTTTTGAATGTTTGTTTTGTCCGTGTCTGTGTGTGCTCCCTGCAGCCCTTGATTCTTCACATCTTGGATTAAACCATAAGACCCTCTGTATGAACAGTGAACAGATACTTAGCAATGGAAAGAAGGTCAGGCACTATGACGTCCATAACCTCTATGGGTGGTCCCACACCAAACCCACCTACGAGTGAGTGAATTTCACATATTTGGAAGTACAGACAAAGTTTCACTTATTGCAAAGAGAACAGGAAACTCTAATTATGCAGTTAAAGAAAAAATCCAGCGCCAGGAGTTAGATGACTGGTATTTTGTGCCAGAAATCTGGTCTAATCAAATCTGCTGATAATAACTGCCAATGTGAAAGTGCATTGGTCTCTGAAGTAAAATTCTCATCTTACTAAAGCCAGACCAAACTGCAGAGCTTGCAACAGAACAGGCTGTTCAGGTTTTGAGTTCAGTTAAAATACTTTAGCACTTGTTTCCTGTTATCATTCTGGTTTGAAAAATATTCTTATTTGCAACAGATAAGGGATGTATAGGTTAACAGAAGGAAAATCAACTATTATCCATTAAAGTTTGACATCAAACTATTCCTGAGTCTCTCTTCTCTGTGCAGCGCCCTGCTGTCTGTGACGGGTAAAAGAGGCATAGTGGTGACCAGGTCCACTTACCCCTCCAGTGGAAAATGGGCTGGGCATTGGCTGGGTGACAATGATGCGAAATGGGACCAGCTGTACAAATCCATTATAGGTATATAACAAAATACACTCTATAAAAACAGGTTGTTTTTCACAGATGCTGATTACAGACTCATAAACTGTAATGTAGAAACAGTATTACACCCTTGGATATAAAATAGATCCAGATTTTTTTTTTATTAACTTCTCCTTGTTCCTTAGGAATGATGGAGTTCAGTCTGTTTGGGATTCCTTACGTAAGTATCAACATCATATCTTGGATTTCACAGGGCATATTCTTATTGATGTGACCTTGTTCTCTCTAAGAGGATTACAAAAGCTCAAATGATATTATTTTGTAAGCTTGACCAACTGATCAAAGGACATCTTGAAATACTTTGTGAAGTATGTCATTACAAGCCCCATCCAAAATGAGATGGCTTGCATCATTCTGTCATGACCTATACAATTTTGTTATGATTTCAGTAGTCTAGTCCAAATGAGATTGTTTTATTCTTGTCCTGGCATTGCCGTGTGCTTTTTTGCCCTTTTGTCTTTGGATGTATTTTTTACCTCCCCCTCCCTCACATAATGTCCTTCTCATCTTCTCAGTGAGACTTTCGACACCTACAATCTGACACTTTATTGATTCTTATATGAAAATTCATTTGCATGTCCCGTACTAAGCCATGAGGTCAGATATATAACACACAAGGACGCTAAAAAACAGTGCTTGCACCCATCATGGTATGACCCCGGTCAATTTGGCTGGAAGGTGCACACTCACTCATTATTTTCTAATCTCTTTCAGACTGGGGCAGATATATGTGGGTTCTTTAATACAGCTGAGTATGAGATGTGTCTTCGCTGGATGCAGCTGGGTGCTTTCTATCCATATTCACGCAACCACAATGGCAAGGGTAACCCGGTGAGTAAGTTCAGAAACACCAATTTACAAGAGTTTATAGGGAAATTAAAGTGACTGTATGTTTTCTATTGTGTAATTTTTATCGTTGTCACACCAATAGTATATGCACCTTCCTTAAGCTTTCTTTGCGTCTACATGTTACACGTTTTTCCTGCCTCTTCAGTATGGTCTCAAAATCTTATAAAAAAATGTGAGCTATAAGTTAGTCTTCGTTGTGTTGTCGCTGGTGCTTTACCTGCAAAACCAAAATCAAATTGGACAAATATCTGCAAAATGTATGAGTAATGAATATTGTGCATGTAATCCCTTTCCCTGCTTTTTACCTGCAATTATCTTATTTGTGTGTAGATTTCAACTTTCCCACACCTCTATCTATTTGGATAGAAAAAAACAACTGACTGCAGGCTCAGAAAGTGACAGACAGATACAACTAAGCCTCTATAAAAAAGGCCTTTTCCCGTTTTTCTACATGATTGGTCATATGTTAACTGTTCTACTGCTCACAATTTCAACAGAGTGACAGAGTCAACTTGATCTATTGCGACAAAAAAAAAATGGATACTTAGGTTTTTATCTTCACAAGGTGCCATTGGTTTACTTCTCAGCACAAACATATCTACATCTCACATAATGAGCTGCAGGGACAAGCCATGCGATATCATGACAATCTAAATTAAACAGAGATAAACTATTGTGCGTTCCTAAAAACTCTTGTCATACATACAGGCCCCCGACAAGCACACAAAAAGATAGTCCTGTTTGTTAGTGTGGCGTCTTTGGCATTCATTCTAGTGTTGACCTTTAAGAGCGTTGGAACACATCTGAGAAATCCAATAATGCCCGTCCAGAGATCGATCCCACAAGGCAAAATATCTCTGCACAGGAGTCCTCAATACTAGACAGGGCACTGTTGTGAGTCAGTGTGTCCGTGTGGGTTGTTAGGAGCCTGTGCTTGTTGTTGTTAACAACATGGTGTGGAGGTGGAATTGAATTCTCAAGGTTATCTGAACGGCACCGTAGCAAATCACCTCACTTCTTCTTCACTCACACACATAAACCCTTTGATTGTGATCATCTCCTAATTACTTTCAAATTGGTGTGCAAAGAGGAGTAAATATTTAGAAAGAGAATGAATGGAAATGGATACAGTAAGAAAGGATGAGATATGAAAAGTGGAAATAAAAGTCAGGGACACTGATTGAAGACCAAACATTTATGTTAATGAGAGAAAGTTCTGATAATACTGACAAGTGTGTGACATACTGTAAGTGTAAGAAAATGTTTGATGGAATTAAATATAAGGCATCACTTAGAGATGAATAATGCTATAAAAAAGAAGTGTTAAAGGTATTGTGAAAGACTGAAGTTTGCTGACAGACTAGAATTTAAAAACTGAGATTGTCATGCAAGAAAAATTTAAATCAACATCAGTTCCACATTCCTTACTATAAAACCTGTCTCTCTTTATCCAGTCATTCATATTTAACATCCAAGAACGTGTAATCAAGATATGCCAATGAAATGTAATTTCATTAATACCACAAACCAAACTGTAGGCTACACAAGGTCAGAAATGATAGAAGCAGCAGCAGAGACGAGGGCCTCTGCCGAGTCTTTCACAGAGCTCCATCACACAGCGTTGCTTTCCCGTGAAAACAAACAAACATTTAAATGACCAAAATGTGTTTTTTAACCAACTTGTGTTTCAGCAGCGTAATAATCTTAATGATATGCACATTGTTACTGTAGGGAAACAAAGGGAAAACATTATTGCTCAAAGCTATTATAAGATGGGCTGAGGATTTCAGACAGATAAATTAAAAGAAAAACTAAGACACAAAGAAAACATTGACATTTTTCATTTACTCTATTTTACCTTAGAAAGTGTAAGTATGTATGTACCCAAATGCATATCTCAATACAATAAATATAGCACAAGGCGCTTTCCTTCCATAAATGAGGCCATAAATTAGGTGAACTCAAAAGTCGGGTTCTCTGTCCTGTTCTCATTATTTCGACATCACTTCATAAGTCGCTCCTGTGCTTTCTCTGATAAAAGGGGAAAAAAGTCTCCCTTGAGGATTTGGGAGACAATGGCATAACTGTCGAGTTTCCTGTAAGATTTTACCAAAAGTTTGATAGTATAAACCAGTTTTGGTGATAAACCCTTGATGACCCCGCTCCTAACTGAATAACAGCCTCATCACCTTAATAATTGATGCTGGAGTGGCCTATCACACATATTCAGCAGCCCACATCAAATAAAGTTGCCATTTTATGTTTCTATAAATCAGAGTTTTGCAGCACGACAACAGTCGCTAAAGGTATCAGTGTTATATCATCTGGACTTTGGGTAATTCAGACCAGTATCTCGACTATTCTATCACGAATCTGTGTGTTTGTAATAGATGCTATTAACGTCTAAGAGGTGTATTGTGGAAATAAACAAAGCCCTCTCTGAACAAAGATGCATTGCTCCAAAACCTGCATATCGAGCATTGATGGTTTATTTGCAGGTGAGCCGATGAGAGGTTGAACTGTTGCCCTCCTTGGATACAAGGATTGGCAAGAATGGCAAATACGTACAGTTTGTCTGTACGCAGAACAGTTTTCCAGTTGATCTCAGTTAGAAAAAGGCAAAATTTATCTCTCCAACATAGAGTTTACACCTTTATTGGCTGTGACAGTGAACTGTCTTCATAGATAGTGACGCAGATATTTCGACAACAGAACCACAACTATTGCAGTGCTGCCTGGAGGACCAGAGATCACAGGCTTCTAATAATAATTTGCTCACACATATCTCTGAATACTTTTGATGATTATTGTAGAATGGATGACGGAACATGATTATTCTAAACCTAATCTACGATTTGTAGATGTCATTTTTTGCAGAATGCTGAACCTCTGTCCATAATTACTCCTGAGAGACTTTTTAAGCTGCTCTTTTCAAATATGCAATCATGTTTCTGACCTGCTGCCACTTAAGCTAATTGGTAGCAATATGTTCTTCCTCGTTATTATTCTTTCCCATTTTTCAAATCTCGTCGCAGAAATTATGGAAAACACAGTCCTTAGATCTAAAGGAAGAAAAGAAGTTGGTGTTAGAATGGCGTTTTTGAAGCTGAAATCAGACAGTATCGCCTTTTTTCAAAAGAAAATAAACTATAAGTCCACAAAACAAGCAATTAAAGCTGCATGTGGATATAACAGAATGAATCTGGACCCTGCAGTACTTCAGTGAATGAGAAATTCAGTTTGAATCCATTACATAAAAGATAACTTTCATACAATTGTTGTATATTTTTTCAGCTTTCAAACTGGTTCCATGACCTGTATTTAAAGCTATTGATTCACTGGTCAAAAATGTATCTGTCCACCGAGTGCAAGATGAAAGTGTTAAATCAGCATCAGGCCTGTGTCAAATACAGCCTTTACAAACCAATAAAAAATTATGAATTAATGTTAGATTTGGAGATGTTCAAACAGGTTATAAAAATGTTTTTCTGTATTGTATTAGAGACTGTAGACTTCAAACATAAGACCGCTGGATGTGGTAAGGGATTTAATTGAATTAGTCCTAGTAGGTATGTGCGGATACAAATAAAAAATAGACATCTCAGAGGTGAAGTGTAAACACTAATACCTGTCAAACCAGATGAGAAAGATACCACTTCAGTCAGTGACAAGTGAGATACCATGTATTTATACATGTCACTTAGCAATATTGCCTATCTCAATCCATTTCTAACTTTTGGAAATAGTATGATACTCACTTTCCTGTGATCGCATTTGATTTTACAGCATTAGGATGTGAAAGAGGGTTACTTAAAATTTAAATTGAGGAAGGTAGAACTCCTTGGTCCCTCGATAATTCCATGCATGTAAATTCCCCTGGAAAATGTAATGATAATTTGGTAAACTCCTTGGGTGATGAGATATTGGAAACTGTTAGTACTCAGTCAGACCCCGTGAGGCTTGAACTCAGTAAACCACTGTGCTACAGTTAATAATCATGACCAAATGTGATCCAGCTGAACTACAGCTGCGTGGCATGCTGTTGCTCCCTTTGACAACTTCTATGAATGAGGCAAATCAGGGAAAAGACATGCACCACATAAATGCAGTTTCCTGCAGAATGTATTTGCATATGTATTACACATTGAGACAGAAAAACATTATGCAGCATCATAGGGAGGAAGATCACATGAAACACTTCAGTTCAAAATCTTCATAATCCTGTGCATCTGTGTACTTCACCAGATTGATTATTGTCCTCCCTGCCGTCACTGAAAATGAGCTTACACTCTGAGGCTGGTCCATATCTGTCAAAACTAGAGTACAACATTTTGTCCTTTCCTGCCCTTGTCTCTTACTAAGATTTTAGGCTTGCTGCCAATTAGAATGAGGTAAATGTTTTTATCACCATGTGGCTGAGTAGTTTGTGTATTGTTTATCAGCGTGAATCAGCGCAGACCAACTGCGTACCTCTGGCTAAAAAGTGGCCATAAGCTGCATCCTCTCTTTGTTAGTCAATGGGATGACATTTGTTCTTTCTCTGCATCACCGTGCATGTTTTTCTGCATATATGCTCATAGAAATCAGCAAATTGTCTATTGTAAGAAGATATAAGTGGTGTTTTTTTTTTTTAAATATGATATAGATGATTTGATCTCACATTCAGCTTTAGGTGTTATGTCACGGAAAAAGAAAAAAACAAAAATATGTAAATGTACTTTGAACAATCCTGATGGTTGAACATTTGCTCGGCATTCCTCTGAACTTAGCAATGGTGAATGAACCAACCACCATCAGTTTATGGAGTCATTGTTAATATTCACAAAAATGAAATTATATAAGGCACGGTCATCCAGTGTAAATGACCACTGAAAGTGACTGTTGATGACAATGGATACAAATGCAGAGTATGAACCAGAGGAGTGCACACAACAAACATGAGTCTTTATGCCCCAAGGGAAGTTAGCTATTTCTGTTTAGTTTCAAAATAATAGTTTTAAATAACAACATGTTTAATAAGTCTATTATCAAAGATTCTGATGATTTTTTATTATTATTTCCTTTCCTTTCAGAGACAAGATCCTGTTGCTTGGAATGCCACCTTCGCCGCCACATCGCGGGATGTCCTGAACATCCGCTATACCCTCCTGCCCTACCTGTACACACTAATGTTTGAGGCCCACACCACAGGCAGCACAGTGGTCAGGCCGATGTTGCACGAGTAAGCAGCACGAAGCTCTCATCTTCGTTTCTGAATTCATGGCTTGGAGCTTTAAATGCAGTTATTTAATTTATTTATTTTCAAATCATTTTTTCCTTAATAGTGTAGATCTTTTATTGTTAAGAAGTGTGTCTGAAAGTGAGAGTGTGCAGAGTCCTGTTGCCCCTGGGGTTAGTGACAGCACCAGCTGTCTCTAGATGAGAATGTGTGAGTTTGTATGGAGCAATCAAAAAGACACATTCGTTCATTTTTACAAGACTCTTTTAAAGTCACAGATTGTACTTCAGGAGCTGTGGGGGTTAGTCTGGCAGGGTTATTTGGCTTGCATCTTGTAACCACAGAATTCTAAATGAGGTCTTGAACAGGTGACAGAGCTAAGGATGTATGAGTGAAAGTGAGTCCAACATGCTTTTCGATCCAGGCTAAATGAATCTTGTGCTTGTATGTTAAAGATTTGTGAATGACAAAACTACATGGAACATCCACAAGCAGTTCCTCTGGGGACCCGCACTACTCATCAGCCCTGCACTGGATGCAGTAAGTATTATTTTCTTTTCAATCCTAATCATCATTTAAACACATGCAAACTTACAGTGACTCACCAGAGGTCATTTGCTGTTCTTATTCATCTTTTTCTGGACTGACAGGGAGCCAGAGAGGTTGTAGGCTATCTTCCTAATGCACGCTGGTATGACTTCCACACTGTAAGTAATTGCCCGAAATCACTTCAAAGAAAGACGTATTGACTTGCTATTTTCTTTGTATTTTCATTAAGAATGAAGCTACACATTTTACTCTTAACTTTATCATCCTTCTTTCACATGCAGAGCATATATAGGAACAAAATACTACTCAACAGTGTGTGTTTGGTTAGAGGAGTTGCTGACTATGAAAGGAGACTGGTTTGTAACACCAGGGGTTTTAGGATTCTGAAGGGGCTCTTATAAAACCATCCATTGTGGGTTCTGATACTGCAAAATCTTTTGGCTCTTGGCAAATATTTATACATTCTTTTGGATGGGTGAAAAGGGTCCTGGCGCATGGAACAGACTGCGTAGCAGCATGTGTCAAAGATGATAGGGATAAAGGGAAGTGATGGTCCTCTCAGTCGCCCATCGAGGCCCTATAGAGACTCTTATTGAGGTGTCACATGGTTCCTGTAGTTTTCTGGGAGTCAGTGTTACTGGGTGGTAATCATTGAGACAGGTTCCGGTTCACTTCTTCTGACACCACAGCCTAGCTCCGGATTATACTAAAGATGCCTCTAAGAATGCCTCCCTGCTGGTCAGTGCAGTCCCTGAACACTGCCTGTGGGATGGTGTCTGAGCTGGCAGCTTTCTGAGTGATAAGACCTGAGGAGGTGTCTATCCAGGCACCCACCCTAATGCAAAAACTCTTCAGAGAGATATGACTCAGATCAACCACATCTGAGGGGTTTGTTTCATAGGTTTTTTTTGTATCTCTTCAATGGTGGATCAATAATTGTGTTGAGAAAAACACAGCACTACATCAGACAATGGCATAAAATTAATACGATTCTTCTAACATCATCACAACTCTGTGGCTTAACCACTGTAAACACATATTTTAGGCACAACTAGCAACTTTGTAGTTTTGGGTTTTACATATAACACACACCATCATTAAATGTAATATTGGAGTACTGTGAATGTACATTTAACTAATCACAATGGCAAATAGAGGGGTTTAATTTGAACAACTTTCTTCTTGTAACTTTGATCAAGGGCAAAGTGGGAAATATTGGAAGACAGAACTTTACAACGAAAACAAACCCGAATTTATGAAAAATTATTCAAATTAATCACTTTTAGTGTTTGTAGTACTTTAACTTCGGGCGATTATTTCTGGTCTCATTAGGCCAAGGATGTTGGAGTGCGTGCACAAATGCATAACATGCCAACGCCCCTGGAGCACATTAACCTTCATATCAGAGGGGGATACGTCTTACCCTGGCAGAAACCAGAGAACAACACAAAATACAGGTATGCACGTTCCAAACACACTGTTGTATAAACTGTATAAACGATAAAGAATTTGTTTTTTTTCTGAATTATTATTATTTCCACTTTTTAATTGATGAGGAATGTATAAGGGATCGATTTGAACAGGACACTGTACATGTTTCATGGGCAGTGGCCACATCATCATGAGGACCTCATCTTAATTATGCAATATTTTACCTCCTTTGCCCATGCTATTTTTCATGATGTGCAGCACTCAACTGAAAACAACTGGCAGAGCCATGACATATTTTTTATTTGTCTGTAGAGCCAGAATAAACAAAACCTTGCTTGATAAGAAAAACATAGAAAGGAGTAAATGTGACCTCAAAACAAACACAAACAAATAAATACATTCATCAGAAGTCAATTTTACCAAATTTGTTTGGACAAAAATGAGGGATAGCACAGGCCTTGTGTATTTTGGTTCAAATAAAATGACTAATATGACTAAAGAGCAACCTCTTTAGTCCAAATCTGCCGTGAACACAATTTTTTCCTGTCAGGATTTAGTTTGTCAGTGCTGTATTTGAATGTCTCAAAAAGCTTTTTTTCCACATAAGAGTCTTAGGAGCATGTAAATAGATATAATAGTTACTATTCATGCCATGCAGGTTGCATTTTCCACCGGCCCTCATTAAAAAGAAAGTGTGAAAGTAGCAGAAAATGACAGACAGACATTGACTGCTCTTGCATAGAGTGATCAGGTGTATTCTACAAGCAGGAATGGTAATCTATTTGTTTTCAGCAGCAGGTATAAATAGACAGGGTCCTTTAGCAGTCTGCGCTAACCCTCTCTGTTCTCTTCCTTTCAGTCGACAGAATCCTTTGGGACTGATCGTTGCTTTGAGCGATGAAGGAACCGCTCAAGGATCATTCTTCTGGGATGACGGAGAAGGAATAGGTGAGTAAAGCTCCCTGTGAAGGACTTTCAGCCATTCACCTGCCTAAAGAGGAATGTGTCATTATGTGTTTGTCTATGTTAATGGGGTGCTTAGCCTGGATAGTCAGTGATAGCATTACTTACTCACACATACACACACCACATGTACAGAACAGCACACTTGAACGTTCATGGGCCATTTGTAGCACTTAAATAAAAGGTATGTCTCATTGAAACGTGTCAATGGGTTCATGAGGCAAAAAAAGAGCAAGTAGTTTGTACTTCTTTCGACAATCGTATTGTGTGCAGTAAAGCATGATAAGCAACGATGAGCAATAAAAGAGAAAAAAAAGACATTTGAGTTAACTGCTGATTACATAGTTACCATGTTTGATGTTCAAAGAACTAGAGGGATGTTGAAAATGAGGAAATTAGGTCCATTCACTGTTCTTCAACTCTACATACTGTAAAAAGAAGACCATGCATATATTTTCAGTAAACACGATTTTTCATGGATTTCCTCAGATAGACACCAGCAGTTTTTCTCAAAGCAAGCACACACATAGACACACACACACACATAGACACACACACACGCACACACACACTCAGTCTCTGAAGTGCTCCTATAAGAAGATGCACTTCTCTTTGAAAGACATGTTTGTGTTGGGACAAAGCAAAGAGCAGGAGATTGAGAGTGAATGAAGAACGTGAGTGGGGGGTGGGGGGTGGGTGACAGAAACTATTACAGTAATTCTTTGTGTCGCTGCCTGGAGATATGCTCTCCATCACTCTTCTTTTATCTGGTCCCTCGTTCATCTCTTCTGCGCCTTCCTGTCTCTCTGCCATGTAGCCCGTCTATGTTCCTCTTGTTTGCTTTCCTCTCGGTTTAGCACCTGCTTGCCTGTGTTATGTGCTTTTCCTTGAATTCTGCATGTTTTAGTTTCAGTTCAGGGACTTAGCTGTTCACTCTCCTGTCAGTCAAGCTGTCTTCTCATACCGTTTTCTAAATCAACAGTTATTCTTTGACTCAGTCAGTGAGTTGTAACTTCAGTGATTCAGTCAGTTAATCATTTCATGCAATTAAGCTCCATCATCAGTTGTTTACCTTGCTTTTATTGCTACAATTCTGCCATTTTATCACCTGTCAAAAGTCAACTTACTGGTGGGTCCATTACTGAGTGCATGATGAGTTACATTAGTGGTATAACTTATCAGGTGATCATTATTGTGTCCAGCTCAGCCAAACGAATGCTGGATTAGCTCAATACTCGTCCTTGAGTCTTTGATCCAATGAAATTTTATTAAGAAATTTTGCAAACCAATTTTCTGGCACAGTACGACTCTTCTTTGCAAGTAATTTAGTAAATTTTGTTTTTTCCTATGTTTTTCCTTTCAGACACAGTCGGCAGAAACGAATATCTCTTTACCAAATTTTCTGCTGCTTCGGTGAGTTTATGACCAACCAAATATCACTTCTTTCTTTTTTCTATTATTGTTTTCATTATAGAAATAGTCCGAAAGACAGCACACTAGGTTTGTGCTAGCCAATGTCAAACTGTTGCTATTTCAATTCATGAACAAAGACCTTAACAATTTTGGGGCAGTTATGTTAATGTAACTCTCTGGGCTAAAGTAATACCCTCCTTTAAAAAACTAACCAACTGAACTCATGTCATAACAGTCCAAACATTAAATCAAATACAATGAACTTTTTTTTTTTCCATGGTACCATGGTACCAAATGTACCATACAGAATCATGGGAAAACCCTCTCTACAATGTGTTTGCACCCTTTTGTATAGAGTTCAGCAGCCTGATTTACAAAGGAAATTATACAAAATGATGCTTAAGAAAGGGGGATAACAATTCCATAAACACAACAGAGATGCCTATAAAGGGAGACCACATTTAATCAAAACTGTTAAATCCCACTTCTAAAACAGTATCATACCTCAAAAATCTAATGTTCAGCCAATCTTATCCAATTTAAGTGTCTTTTTTTCATAAAGGTTTTTTGTCTGCTTGATTAAAGACAGAGTCAAAAATGAGTGTATGTATTATAAAGAATGTACACCAAAGTTTCCAACAGGACACAGCATTTTAGGCTTCATGGTCTGTATGCTTGTTCTCAGATGATCTGGGCAGCACAGATTAGTTGCATGCTGAAGCCAACAACTAAACCTTCATAAACCCGAGCTCTATGAGTGTGTGCATACACTCATGAACAGAAGGTGTTCACTGGTAAACAGTTTAAAGCTGACAAGTTAGAAACCTTCTAACCATCAGAACAAATCGGACTAACCCAGCTCCTTTTCTTGGTTTGGCACGTCAAAGAAAACCACATACAATCACATGTTTAATCAGTAACTGAGACATATTCAGACACACACATTCTCAGTTCTGCCATTTCTATGGCCAAACATCTGTGTCGGTCCTCTGCCGAACATCGAGCACAATCCAAAGCAATTTCACACAGCGATTAAACAGATGCAGAGTCAAACAGCCAAAGGAAGAAGGCACGAGTGTGTGTGTATTTGTGTGCGTGTGGGTGTATGATTGTGTCAATGTGTAGATGTGAGAAGGTGATGGAAGTGATGCAATGAGGCCACTGCTTCATGGCACATTAACAGATTGTATGCCCATTTTGGATGGACACTAAACGTAGGAGTGTGTGTTCCTTTCACAGAATGACAACGTTTAAGTGAACTTTCAGTGGCATACTTTCAGTAATCGATTGATTTATCCATTTGTTACTGTAAGCTTTATGATTTCCCTGTTTCCACCAATTCCTTTTCCAGAACACGTTAAAAAATGAGGCTGTCCACAGTGCTTTGGCAGCTGAAGACCGGCTCATTTTGGGAGTGGTTAAGGTTTGGGGGGCAGGCAGCTCCAGGATCACAGAGGCGACTCTAACAGTCTCAGGTGGAATGCCGCAGCCTCTGACTCCAGAACACAACCTTGAGACACAGGTTAGAAGTGCTTTGCATGCTTATCATTTAAGTTAACATGGTAATACAGACCTAAGGTTCAATTCTTGATTTAGGGTATATGAGTGAGTCTCATTCTCTTTGTGTTTACAAGAAGGAGCTACAACTCATTCTTCTGAATTGGTCTTAAAAACCAGCATTCTAAACTCCCTGAGCGTTAAGTTTTTATCTGCTAATGGCTGTTTTTTTCACTCATTGGTCACATCCATATCTTTGATTTGCTAGCAGGCTATAGCAAATATGCATACATTGATGCACCTGCATAGTTTCTACCTGCAAAACGTCAAATACAGCCTACGTTTACAACCATATGAGAGCATCTTTGCATCAATAAGGTTGCTGCTAAACATCTCTTGCTATGACCCTTACATATTAACCTCCTGAGACCCGAGCTTTTATTTGGCATGCATTTTAGCTTTTTTTTTAAGGATATATGAGATACATATTTAATTAAATGTTTTTACAATTTTGTTCTGACAGTCCCATTGACTCATTTACAGTTTTTCTATTACACAATAAGAACATGATTGGATGGAAATGTATAAAACCATTTTACTTTAGATTTCAAACACTGTCTGATAGCATCTGCTATGAGGTCAAGAGGTCAAAGCTGAAAGAAAAAAAAGAAGTATCATGTTAAAGAGAGACAAAAATGCAACGTCCTCTTATGAGGACACAGGGTCTCAGGAGGTTAAGGCACCGTTGAGCTTTGTAATCTAATGGCTGTGTCATTTTTTAAAATTTGTTTTATGAACACAAAAAGGGATGACTTTGCTCATGTAAATCAAAAGCTCATGTTTTTTTTTCACTGGGCATTATCTAAGAAGTTGTTGTGGGTGTTATTTCACGCTCCTAATAAGTGCATCATCTGTCATTTGCAGTATCATATGCAGAATGAGGAAAATAAACACAGGCTATCTTCTGATGTCATCTTAATGCCTGTATTTGAAAAGTGCAATCAGATATCAATGAATGACCAAATAACAACAACAACAACAACAAAAATGATAATAATAATAATAATAATAATCAAATAATAATAATAATAATAATAATAATAATAATAATAATAATAATAACAATAATAATAATAATAATAATAATAATAATAATAATAATAATAATAATAATAATAATAATAATAATAAACAATTAATTGAATTTATATAGCGCTTTTCAAAGACCCAAAGATGCTTACAAGTAAATAAGAAATAGGGTAAACATTAAAAACAACACTGGGGGAGGACAACAACACGTCGTAAGCTTGGGAGAAGAGGAAGGTTTTCAGACGGGATATGAATGTAGGGAGCGATGGTGAGTCAGGGACTCCTCTTTCAAACTCCAAATGGCATATTTGGCCTAGTAAAGGTTCAAACTCTGGCATTTTTGGAAAGTCCTTCACCAAAAATAAAACTAAATCGAATAAAAAATAATAGAACTTAAGCATAGGGCTTGGTTTTGCATACTGCAGTATGCAAAAAAATGAAGTTTTTTTTTTTAATGCATACAAAGTGGCACATTTATAAAGACTAGACTATTATAAAGACTAAAAACATTCCATTTTCAGGGTTAGGGGTGAGTCTGAGGGAGAGAAGATGCATCACTCACAGGAAATGTGGAAAGAAGGGGAAAAACAAATTGGCTTGGGGGGGGCAAAAGGGCAGAGAGGAATAAGAAAAGAGGCGAAAAGATGACAGAATACTTGTGGCAATAAGTGGCTTCTCAGTGCAAGACAATGTTCTTTTTCTCTTTTAAACATTTCCTGATAAGGTGTAAAACTGGAAGATTTGTACCATGACTACTGGAATTGTGCTGTTTTAACTTTTATATTTTAGGCTACTGTTTAACACAATCTTAAAAACTCAAAGGACTGCTCTTACTGTCTTGTATATCCATCTCACTATATGTACAGTCAGTTACAAAATAATTCACATGAATGAAACCGGATTATTGGTTGTAAGATTAGATTACTTTTCTGTGAAATTATTCGAGTTTGTACATACATCGAGTTTTTTACACACTCCAGAATGTTTGAAAAAAAAATGAATTGGAATCTTTTCCTACTGTTAATTTCATTTAAACTATTTATAAAACAAATACAATTCACTATATAATTAAAATTAATTCTATTTTATTTTACAAATCTCTTATATTGTTTTTCTTTCCACAGGAGCTGATTATAGATGTAACATCAAAGGCTATCCACGTGGATGTACCTTTTGAAATACAGTGGAAGGCCACCGTCTGAATCCAGTCCCTTAATGTTTTTTAAGCTGCATTATGACAAACGATTGTGTTGAAATCATCACTAGTCTGCCCAGTTTAATGAACGAAGAGACTTTAAAATAATAAGTTACTACTTGTTTGTCTCCCCATGTGGTCACTACAGTGCCAGTGATTAAAATGTACAGTACAGTATAGACAGTGACAGCTGACTTGATTCATTACAAATGGATGAAATGGAAATATAATATGTTGGAAATTTGAAATGAAAATGTGAAAATAAAAAAAATAACACCAACACTTGATGTAATCCATTCATTGAAAGTTAAGTCAAAAGACAGATCAGATTTATGTCTTATTTCCTGTTATGATATAAGTCAAAAGGTTGGCGCCTTCCTCTCCAGCTAAATGTTTATCCACATGTTGCTTCCAGCTTAAATTATTGTCACATATTTCTTTTAATTTTGCAGGAAATCAATAGTCGTAAGCAGTGAATAGTTTATATACAGTATTAATCTGTTAATCTTTCATCATTTATTTCAACAAGCAACTGTGTGAAAAATTAACAGGTCTCATATTGAAATAATCAGATTGAATGGTATAATAATGGTAAAATGGCAGCAGAGATTTCAGCATTGTATCATCTCAGACAGAAGCTTTCAGGGGTCTCTTTTGAATACCAATTAATATAGCAATTAATATATCAATTTCTGAATTTTACTCTGTGGGGGTGATTAAAGTATAGTGTTATTCGTATTTTTGCTAAGTGTGTGGGTTTTGTATTTATCAAATGTATGGCAAGTTCTGCTCACTGTGGTACAATGAATCAAACACTAATTTGAATGTTTTTAAACTGAAAAAGCACTCTCAAGACTTTGAAAGGACTAGCCAACTGGATGGTTATTGATGAGTGCAGCCATCATTATGAACAGAAAATACATCATTCTCAAATTTGTTGTTTTGGAATAATCATCATTTAAAACCCACACAGTTTTGTGGGAAGAAGACCAGCTTAACCAATTGTGTATAGTACCACATACGGAGAGTGCAAATCCTTTTGTGCTCCATTTATTCAGACTGGTGGCAATAGATCACTTTGTGGAGTTGCTGTTATGTTATTTTGTTTGTTTGTTTTTTTAATCAAATAATTTAGTCACAATGTTTTAATATTCCAAGTAGGATTTTGATGATGACACATTTTTACCACAGATACATAAGATGGGTAGTTCTCCAAATAACACAAATGTCTGTGACATAAACATATACAAATAGAAATGTACAAACGGCACCAAAAAAAGAATAAAAACTGACGTGACCATTGGACATCAGTTTACTTCTGGCATTGCACATAGGTGTAAACCATCTATGAATCTGTTGATACAAGACTTAATGGACACAGCTTCTCCCTGATGGCAGATAAGGTAAATTGTTGATTCCCAAAGTGAAAAAAGGACTTTTATATGCACGCCTCAGACTTTATAAGCAGCTGTGAAGGAGGGAAGTCCCGGTGGTGTCCAAAAAAGATGGCAATAGTTTCTGAGAAAGGTTAACTCTCCTAAATGGCCTTGAAACAAATAACCACTGCTTTGCTTGAAATTGATTGCCGATGTGTGGTCCTGAGAGATAGACATGTGCGCTCAGAGATGAAGTTAGTGACCTTCTCCACCATCCAATCTTTTTTATGTAAAGAAGAACACATTACTCCTTCTTCTCAAAACTCAATAACTTGTTCTTTGGTTACTTCCAGGAGTTTTCCTGTAAACAAGTCAATTTGTTTTTGGACTCACTGGATTGATAATTGAATGCACAAAGTGAGTATAGAAAACTGATGATTATTAGTGCCTGCCACAAAGCTGCAGTGCTTCTTATTGTGAAGGGCTTTACTGTAATGGGTGTTTAAAGTGTCTCAGCAGGCCTGGTGGGCTGCAGTGATGAGAATCGGGAGTGAATGCTAAGAGAATGAGCAGTGGTGGCAACCCTGCCTAATTAGCTGTTATGTTAACCCTTTATTTCTGAAACACAGTGCGTGGGATGATGATATTACACCAAACAAATGTTCTCAAAGAAGCAATCTCACTGCTATCCAAGATGTTTCATGAGGGTCAGCATGCTATAGCGAAAATAAACCAATTGGTTTGGTTTTATAGATACAAGTTACAACACATTCTTTGGACTTTAGGATTAGCTCCTTAAAACACTTTATACTTAATAGTATACTATACTTCATAGCTGTTACTTGTTATCTGAATAAATGAAAAAGACCAGATTTAATGTTTTACTTTCCACTCCATTTACCCCTAATGGTTCAAAAGTCATTTTCTCCGGAAATGTATTTTTTCTACAATAACATGTGGTGTTATGTTTGTGGTTCCGGCCCATACGTTTACTTCTCTGGAAAAATACAAGAATAAATTGTTTTGTATTTTTGGGTTAGAACAGTCATATTCAAGCATTTGCATAAATCACAGTACAACTGACAGTACATAGCCTTTCAGAGCTCAAAAGTTTGCAGCATAGAACAAAATGTATAGCCAAAAAAGGAAGAAAAAATAGTGATTGAATTGTGCTGGTTTTCAGTATTCCTCTATGCTGCTCTAAAATTTCATTGCACTGTGAAGTGATGCAGTGTATCTCTTTTCACACAGTCTAACTTGTATTTTATTATTTGCAGATCAATGTCTTGTTCTCTGACTTGCTCAAATAAACAAGCTTACCAGAAAATTTGCTTCTAAATGAGTTGCAGAAACAGTGAGTCATAGGTGAGTCACTGGCTAGTACAAACAGACGACAAGTACTTTGAGTTTATTATACCATTGAAATTTGCTTGGTCTTTGTTAACTACCTGAACATTTGCTCACAACATCTGGTCTGATTTCAAACGATTTAAACAAAATGTACTAATTTCGGCAACTAGAGGTTGCTGCATTTTACAATCTGCACAATTGGGAACAAAATCCGAACATAAAGCTTCTTTGACATCTTAATGGCTGTCTGGACAACGTATGAGCAAATAAGTTGCAAAGTACCTGGCATATTAACTAGTTTAGCAGGTATTTAACTTGTTAGTTTAGCAGTAACCTAAATCTTCAAAAGTTCACTAGTTCTAAATTGTTATCAAGTATATATAATACATGCTTAAATAGCTTTCTATACGAGGGCCTCACAGCACACAATTCAACACAACATGAAAGAGAAGCAGGGAACATCTTGACAACATCAAAGGTTGTAAGACATGACAGGTTTGTGCACATACAGAGCTTTTGTATTTCTCCACATGAAAGTGTGAAGAGGTTCTTTCGTGTCTTTGTCCATGTGCCTGTAATTAGAGGAGTTCTGCAAAACTGAAGTCACCTTGAAGTGGCAACAGATACAGGAAGATGATGAAAGTACATATCTTCCTTGGACTGTGTAACAGTGTCACTTTAAACACATGTTGATGTGTTCAATGCAGCTTGATTTAGTTCAACACCCTGCCTGAGCTGGTCTGTTCACTAAGATCAACTGTTTTATTCACCTCCACAGTCCAACCAATGCACACTCTAAAAATATTGCCCATTTGCTATTTGCAGATGTATATGTTTGGAACAATGTTCCAGCTAAAACGAAAAGAAAAAAATCTAACCCCAAGTCAGGCATGTGTGCGCCCAGTGCAACAATCTCACATGAATCTGTATCACTCCAACTCTGATCCCCGACACAAAATGTGCTTCTAAACTGTTCCAGTCTTTTGTGTGTTATAAATCGTTTGCTGTGGACAATCCTGGAACTAGTACACTTGGTGGAAGAGCAGTGGTATTCACTGAAGGGTGACGTTACTTCAGAAGGTTTTGAACATCATTTAAGAGCAAAATGAAGGGGAACAAAATATATTTTGACTATTCCCTCATATTGACATTTTGGAGTGTCAGTTTGTCTACTCGGATTTCCTCAAAGATTATGCTTTTTGTGTGAAATGGTTTTGCTAAACTCACCTTGGAAGTGAGTGTGTGTTTGTCTCTTTCGGCCCTGTGATAGACTGACAATCCCTCCAGGGTGTATATTTCCACGATCCTAGTAGAGTTTAACAAACCCTGACTAGGTGTAAGTGGGTATAGAAAATGAATCAATACTTTAAATAAATTTTTTGGTGTACTATGGATTTCTCATTTGGTTCATACACAGCAAAAAAACACACAAATAAAATAACAGTCTTCTTGGTTGTCTTACATGGTTTGTGACTGAATGAGTGTACACTGACTACTATGTCATTCCATAAGCAGGTCATCGGTGGATTCTAAGGTATACTCCTGTCCGCTAAAACTTTGAGTCTTAATAAGACTGACCGTTTTAGATATTCAGACATGTCCACAACTTCATAGTTTAGGAGAAGAAGCGGCTTCTGTCATGCAGCTGATGTACTGTTGGGCTGTTTACTGTGCCAGTATGAAACTTGTGTTTGTGCATGTTAACAATAACAATATTTATTAAGAATTATTTATTTATTATTTTATGCAGAAGTTGTGTAAAAAGGAAATATATGTCTTTCCTTATTTGGCTTTAATATCCCTACCATTTTCTTTTTTCTTTTTTTCATCACTTTATTCATATGCCACTTATCTCTTTGAACACAATAATCATCAATAATCCTGTACGCTTTAAAGACAAGTGGCGGTTATAATGGTGGGGTTACCTTCATTTCCACCTTAAAGTCCACTATCAACCATGTCAGGCGTTATTGAGATAAAAAAAAACAACTATTTTATGAGGACAGTCTTATTGCTAGTTTCACTTCGCAAGTCATGTTAATCAAAAACTCCCCAAATGTCATAATCATCATCATCATCATCATCATCATCATCTCCATATACAAAAACACACACTCACATACACAATGTTATTGTTAGCTGCTAAATGTGACCGTTTATATCTGGAAACATTGCTGTAGTTAAAGCACTTCGATAAATAATTTGTTCCACAAATAGATTTGCCAACGGTTGTCATTTAGTTTACAAATACTCTTTGTGTTTTTTCCAGCTCGTTATATGACCCATGAATTATGGAATCCACTCCTCCATTAAAAGTATTCCTCATGCATCGGCTGTGATTTCAAAGCAAACAGAAACATCTGGTCTCTTCAGACTAAACAATATCAATGTTAAGGGAAGTCAGAGTTGAGTGAAACTGCAAGGTTACTTACGAGTCAGTGCAAATTGAGAAAGATTTATTTTCTGGATAGGGCACTGAGGGGCAAAATGCATTTCTTTCAGCAGATTGTGGATTAAGCACCAAAGGATGGTCACACATGCATAAATTTGCAAATC